GAGGGTTTCTCTGTAGCTTTTGAGCCTGTCCTGGAACTCCCTTTGTAGACCAGGCTGGCCTCGAACTCACAGAGATCTGCCTGCCTCTGCCTCCCGAGTGCTGGGATTAAAAGCATGCGCCACCAACGCCAGGCTGGTTGTGGTTTTTATTGTATCCATGGTTTATTTTGTAATTCTTGGGAGACAGTAGATTAGGAGCCGTAGGACAATCGGAGGGAGTGCTTCTTCAAATAGTTGGAGGGCTGGACTAACCTCTTTCCTCTCACCAGCTCCCTACCCAGACAGCACAGTGGGCTCTGGGATGGGGGTGGGGAGCAGGGACATGTCAGCGTCAGGTTTAGGAAAAGAAGTTACTATTTTATTCTGACATTTAGACAAAAACCAACATTTCCTCAGGGACTTGAGAAAATATTTCCTACTTCCTAAAAAGGACTTTTCTCCTAATTACTAAAAGGACCCTTGGCTCTTCAGTACAGAGACCTATGGTGCTTATTAGCATATCAAGGTCTGAACTAGCCTCTTGGCTCCTACAGTCCCTGCTCACATGTACTTGTTAAACCAGTGGTTCCCCCTTTTTACCCATTGTGCAGAGCTGTCATTTTACTGTCTTTACCGTGCTCATTCATTCAGTCACTAAGCTCATCCTGTATCCAGAAGGCTGGCCAGGGAGAAGAGAGGCAGTAGGCACAGACTGCAGTTATGCAGGTTGAGGAGACAAAGTTTTCAGAGCCATTGGGTGCTCGGTGACTTTCCTTCTACATGCCATGGCAAAGGGAATTTGGGGAAGGAGACACAGTGGGAGAGCGCTGAGACACAACAAGGTTCCCCACCCCACCTCAGCCTCCTCTTCTTCCACCTAATCACCTAACTTCTCTGCACCCAGGAGCCCTCATTGATGATCCAGCCACAGGGTCTCAGCACCAAGTTCTGGGGCCCTCCTACCTTGAAGATCCTGCTCTACATTCGGCACATAAGGCACATAATATTCGTGTCTCCTGTAGCCAAACTGAGAAAAGAGCTAGTCAGGGCAGAGCAAGGGAGGTCAGGCCAGGGCAGGGCAAGGCAGGTCAGGCCAGCGCAGGTCAGGCCAGGGCAGGGCAAGGCAGGGCAGGTCAGATCAGGTGGGGCAGAGCAGGGCACCACAGTATAGTTCCCACCCAGGAGCCTTCGGGCCTGAACAGACCTTCAAGAATCAGCTGACAGGAACTGGGTGTGTGTGTATGTGAGGGGGAGGGCAGCCAAAATGCCCATAGCAAATTGTGGGTCATATGTTGGAGAGACCTGTCACTGTGGCTGTTAAATGCCACACTTGATGAAGTGAGTGGTTTTTGAAGGTGTCTCTTCTGTCAACTCTTTCCACCATGAACCATCTGAAACCTAGCTGGAGGAACCTGACATCCAGAGATGCTGAACTGCCAGCCTCACACTGTGGGCATCTCTTACCATCTCACTCTCCTCCAGCTGTGCCAGCCTCATCCCGTGGCACAACCAATGTCTGGTTAATGGCTGTTTACAAGTAAATATAGAATTAATAAAGAAAACAAGTGGAAGGAAACCTGGAAATGGAAAAGCTGGGGAAGTGAATAGGAACTACAGCATCAGGCATCACTAATAGAGTAAAAGAGATGGAAGAAAGAATTTCAGATGTTGAAGACACAACAAAGGAAATGGATTCTTCAATCAAAAAATGTTAAATCTAAAAAATCCCTACCAAGCAATATCCAGAAAATGGTGGGCACTATGAACCAATCAAATATAAGAATAGCAGGAATACAGGAATGAGAAAAATCGAGTCCAGAAATGCAGAGAATATACTTAAACAAAATCAAGGAAGAAAATTTTCCCAATGTAAATAACAATCTGCTTATAAAGGTACAAGAAGATTAAAGAAAATCAAATAGATTGGGCCAGAAAAATAAATCACCTCGCCACATAATACTCAAATGCTAAGCATACAGAACAATGAAAGAATATTAAAAGCAGGGGCTGGAAAGATGGTTCAGCGGTTAAGAGCATTGCCTCCTCTTCCAAAGGTCCTGAGTTCAATTCCCAGAAACCATATGGTGGCTCACAACCATCTGGTCTGGTGCCCTCTTCTGGCCTGCAGGCATATAAACAGACAGAATATTGTATACATAATATATAAATAAATAAATATTAAAAAAAAGAATATTAAAAGCAGCAAGAGGGGGTGCTGGAGAGATGGCTCAGTGGTTAAGAGCATTGCCTGTTCTTCCAAAGGTCCTGAGTTCAATTCCTGGCAACCACATTGTTGTTCTTTTTAAAAAATGCTGCAAGATCCCCGCCGCAGTAGGCAGCAGAAAAGCTGTAGGTCCCAAATGATGGCGGTGGGCCATGTGGTGGCAGGCAGCGGGCCCTGGGAGCAGCCAGTCCCAGGCAGAAATGGCTGCTGGTCTCAGTGCAGTGGTGGAGGGCCATGTGGCAGCAGGCAGTGGGCCCCAGGCAGAGAGGGCTGCTGGTCCCTGAGCAATGCCTGGTTCCAGGCAGGGAGACACATGGCAGGCAGGCGGGCAGAAGACAGAAACATGGATGAACACAACATGCAGGGTGAGGTTGAATGTTTATTCAGGGGGTTATGGAGGAGGAAGGGTGACGGGGGGGACAGAGAGAGAGGGAGAGAGAGAAGAGGAGGAGGAGAAAGAGACAGATAGGCAGAAGCGAAGCTGCCTCTCCGAGAGGAAGATGGAAAAGGGAGCAAGCTCATGCCGGGAAGCTGAAAATCAGCCTGCCTCAGTGGATGTGGAAGGGAATAGGTGTGGCTTGTCTCTTAAAGGGACCAAAACCATAACACACACGGCGGCTTATAACCACCTGGAATGAGGTCTGGTGCCCTCTTCTGGCCTGCAGACATACACACAGACAGAATATTGTATACATAATAAATAAATAAATATTTTTTAAAAAGCAGCAAGGGAAAAAGTTCAAGTAAGAAATAAAGGAAGACCTATTATAATCACACCTGCCCCCTCAACAGAAACCCTAAAAGTCAGAAGGCCATGGACAGATGACGTGTGGACTACAAGGGACTATTAAGGATGTCATCAAAGGCTACTATATCCAGCAAAATGCTCAACCATCATAGACTGGCAAAACAAAACAAGATAGTTCATAACAAAGTCAAATTTAAAGAGTATCAAACTAAAGCCCAAGCCCGATATAAGGTACTAGAAGGAACACTCCAACCCCACAAAGCTGACTAACCCCATAAACAGAAGTGATAGATAATATCACACCAGCAAAACTGAAAGACACACACACACACACATACTCCACAACCATCACCAACAATATAACAGCAATTAACAATCATTGGGAATTGAAAACCCTCAGTATCAATGGACTAAAAACACCAAAAAAAGGCACTGGGACACAAAATCACAAACTGACATTCTACTGTATACAAGAAGCACACCTCAGCATTCAAGATAGACATTACATCAGAGTAAAGGGCTGGAGAACGATTTTTTTTAAAAAAAAAAAATTTATTTATTTATTTATGGATCTAAGAAGCAAGCTCATGTAGCTATCCTAGCATCTAACAACAGACTCTGAAGAAACACAGAGGATAATAGCATATCTGCATGTCATCTCTGTAACAATTCTAGCTACAAAAAGCTTGGGATTTAAATTTTTCTTCTCCACATAGCAAACAAATGAACATTCGAAAAGCCCTCTGGCTGTGCTGTGGTGGTGCAAGCCTTTAATCCCAGCACTTGGGAGGCAGAGGCAGGTGCATCTCTGTGAGTTCGAGACCAGCCTGGTTTACAAGAGCTAGTTCCAGGACAGGAACCAAAACCACAGAAAAACCCTGTCTCGAAAAAAAAAAAAAAAACTACAAATAAGAAAGAAAGAAAGAAAGAAAGAAAAGCCCTCTGATGGTCATGGCTTTTCATTATTTGTGTTCTTTCTGCCCTTAATTTTCTACTGTTACATGTAGTGTAGACAAGAAGGGTGCAGTTCTCACAGTCATCTGACAAATGAGAAATCAGTAAAGATAAAAATCAGAAAGTCTAACAAAATCAGAAATGAAAAGGGGGACATAACAACAAATGCGGAGGAAATCAGGAGAATCATTTGATCATATTTCAAAAGCCTGTACTCCACAAAATTGGAAAACTTGAAATGGACAACTTTCTGGATAAATATCTCTTACCAAAATTAAATCAAGACCAGATAAGCAAATTAAGTAGACCTATAATATTTGCTTTCTGCCACACGGATTATGTCACAAGGTATGGATGGCATCTGCCCTATCCACCTGTTTAACATCATTAACACCAAAAGAATTTGTGCAGCTTCCCCTTTCACCGACATGCTTACTGGAATAGTGTGATCATATACTGCCTGATTTTTAAATAAAAAACGGACCACTTAGATGATGGGTATCCTATTCTATACATTTCAGCAGAAACATTCTAATCACTAAGTAAAAGCACAAGAGAAGATGAACAAAAGTGGCAGAAGAGCCGGGCAGTGGTGGCGCATGCCTTTAATCCCAGCACTCGGGAGGCAGAGGCAGGCGGATCTCTGTGAGTTCGACCAGCCTGGTCTACAGAGCTAGTGCCAGGACAGGCTCCAAAGCCACAGAGAAACCCTGTCTCGAAAAACAAAAAAACAAAAAACAACAACAACAAAAAAAAGTGGCAGAAGAAATATAAGGAACACAAAATAATTTTCACTAAAAGTATTTGTCACACATAGAGCAAACTTTAGTATTTCAAAATAGAAAGGACAATCCAGTGCTCTCCATCACTGGTCCTGAGTGATCACAGCAATTCATTTACTTCCTTCAAGACTGTGATGAATTATAAAAGAAACAACAGTTTTTTCTTGTTGCTAAAGACTACCGTGATGTCTAAAGTACTTACCAAATAATTACACGAATAGGGTTTTTCTCTTGTATGAGTTTGTTCTTCTTTCCTGACTTCAAAATGATCTAAATAGACTTTAAAACATTGACAGGGCTAGACACAGAGCTGGACAGTTTAGAAAGTTTTATTATCAGGACCAAGGTCTGATTTTTGACAACTTCACATAGAGCTTCACAACTTCATAAACTGATTTTGTCTATGAGTTTTCAGATGGCAACAATATAAAATACAACATCATGAATCTTGAACAGATTGTTGACACTGTCAAAATTTCCCACAGAATGAATGCTCTTTTATGCAAGGATGTAAAGTGTGTTGGATAGAGAGCTTACCAAATACTTTATAAAAATACACTCAGAATTGTTTTAGGCACTCAAAGACTATTGTAAACACAAAGGTTTTAACAGACTGATTGTATATACAACATTAACTCCTGTATAAAGTGCAAAACTTTGCAACACTGGCTATATTTTTAGGGTATTTCTGCACTACATCTTTCTCAGATGATTTCAAAGATTGCTTATTAATGCAAAGATATTCGCACATTGGTTCCATTCTCAGGGTTTCTCTCCAGTATGTATTCTTTTATGCATCTGAAGGCTACGCAGGTGTTTAAAGGTTTTGCCACACTGATCACATCCATAGGGTTTCTCTCCAGTATGTGTTCTTTTATGTATTTGAAGGCTACGCTGGTGTTTAAAGGTTTTGCCACACTGTTCACATCCATAGGGTTTCTCTTCAGTATGTGTTCTTTTATGCATTTTAAGATTACTTTGTTGTGCAAAGGCTCTACCACACTGATTGCATTCATAGGGTTTCTCTCCAGTATGTGTTCTTTTATGTATTAGAAGTGCATTGTGATGAGAAAAGGTTTTACCACACTGATCACATCCATAAGGTTTCTCTCCAGTATGTGTCCTTTTATGTATCTGAAGATTATTGTGGTATGGAAAGGCTTTACTACATTGATTACATTGATAGGGTTTCTCTCCAGTGTGTGATCTTTTATGTATTTGAAGATTACTGTAATATGTAAAGGACTTATCACATTCATTACATGGATATGGTCTCTCTCCAGTATGTGTACTTTTATGCATTTGAAAAGCATTGTGATGAGCAAAGGTTTTACCACACTGAATACATTCATAGGGTTTCTCTCCAGTGTGTGTTCTTCTATGTATTAGGAGATGACTATGTTGAATAAAGGCTTTACCGCATTCATTGCATTCATAGGGTTTCTCTCCAGTATGTATCCTTTTATGTGTTTGAAGAGCACTGTGACAAGCAAAGGTTTTACCACATTGATAACATTCATAGGGCTTCTCCCCAGTATGTGTTCTTTTATGCTTTCTAAGATTACCTTGCATTGCAAAGGTTTTACCACACTGATTACATTCATAGGGCTTCTCCCCAGTATGTGTTCTTTTATGCATTTGAAGACCTATGTGATAGGCAAAGGCTTTACCACATTGATTACACTGATAAGGTTTCTCTCCAGTATGTATTCTTTTATGCCTTCGAAGATTGCTTTGTTCATTAAAGGCTTTACCACACTGATTACATTCATAGGGTTTCTCTCCGGTATGTGTTCTTCCATGCTTTTGGAGATAGCAGTGATAAGCAAAGGCTTTACCACATTGATGACATTCAAAAGGTTTCTCCCCAATAAGTGTGCTTTCATGCCTTTGAAGAAGTCTGTCATATGCAAAGGCTTTCACACATAGATTATAAACAGAAGATTTCTCTCCAGGATAATTTCTTTCAGGTCTGTAAGGATAATTGACACATGTAAGAGCTCAACCATGTTTAATACACCATTGAATCTTTGTATCTCTATGAATAAATTTTATAACTTAGTCCAATTGTAAAGAGGACGCGGATCTTAGGGTTCTATTATTAGGTTTGTACTCATGTTGTTCCCCTTCATTTTGGCTTGTTTTGCATCTTTGAAGATGCCTGTGATGGAAAAATACTTTAATAAAGAATTCACATTTATAGAATCTTTTCAATATGAGATTTTTCATATATTTATAGGAAAATGGAACAATTCATATATAGACATATGGTATAGAAAGTGAGGTTTCTTAGGAGCTGGAGTGATGACTCAGGGATTAAGAGCACTGACTGCTCTTCCAGAAGACCCTAGTTCGATTCCCAGCACCTCCATGGCAGCTCACATCTGTCTGTAACTCCTGCCTAGGGGATCCAACACGCTCACACAGACATAAACCATGTAAAACACCAATGCACATAAAATAAAAGTTAAAAAATAGAAAAAGAAAGAAAGTGAGGTTTCTTCATAACAACTGCCTCTTGGCTCTTGACTCTAAATGCCCATCTCACTAAACTCAGCACAGACTCAGCAAGATTATGAGTAACACTAGTTTACTATGGACTGTTTGCTTATTAGAAGGTTTGAGGGACGGACTCATTACCTCTTCAAAATGTATACCTTTTGGGGGGCTGGAGAGATGGCTCAGAGGTTAAGAGCACTGATTGCTATTCTTCTAGAGTTCAATTCCCAGCAACCACATGGTGGCTCACAGCCATCTGTAATGAGATCTGGTGCCCTCTTCTGGCCAGCAAGCATACAGACAGACAGAACACTGTATACTAAATAAACAACTCTTTTAAAAAGAGGTTTACCTTTTGTAATATGAGTGGTGAGGAATTAATGGATTAACAGTTCTACCGAACAGCTCTCATCAAGCTGTGATTCCAATGGTGATATCTGTGAAGGCACTGTTTCTGGTATAATTTCTTAAAATAATGCCTTGCAAATGCAATTCACCTCATTGAAACTGAGGTATATGGTTTTGTGAGAATTTAATAATCATCATCCACATGAAGCTGTTCTTATTTATACTGTTCTTTAGTGTAAAATCTCCAGGACACATTATAGTTTCTTCAGAGGAACATTTGTATCCATCTGGGAATGATAGTTACCTTTCCTGCTTTCTAGAACTTTGACAATGTTCTTCAATATTATGGTTTTCCCAAGTGTATCCTACAACAGAGTTGAAAACATATGATATATTATTAAAAAGTGTGCAACATTTAAATTAACCTCAGTGAACCTTAAACCATGACGCATTTATTCACCTCATTCTTCATCAGTCAAATTACACAAGAATATGAAAAAAACAAGGAACAGCTGTCTCCTTATTTAAAAACATGATGATAAATTCAGGTTTACCTATGATACTGAGGTTGTGGTAGGTGTCCAGCATCACATCTTTGTAGAGATTCCTCTGGGAAGGATCCAGCAGTGTCCACTCTTTCCATGTGAAGTCAACATGCACATCATCATAGGTCACTGCATTCTGAAATATCCATACATTTTTATGATCGAAAGCATGATAGTGACAACATTGTAAATGTACACTTCTTTGACAATATAGTCATATAATTCTGGTACTTCCTACACTTCTTCCATGAAATGGACATTACATTGTAGTCACCAAGTCACTCTGGAAAGAAACTGAATGGAAGGTTCGTCTCCCTCATTTCTGTACCCTGTGAGGGGATATCACCGTGCAAGAGAAATGACTATAAAAAAACAGAGAGAGACCAGTAAACAGATCAACATTACAGCAGACACAGGAGAGAAATTCTATCAACAATTGGTAAATACAAAAAAGAAAATCAAAGGGACAGGCTGTGTAGATTGGCTCATGCCTTCAAACACAGCAGTCAGAGGGAGGAAAATCTGCCTTGGAGTTGAATGGGAGCCTAGTCTATGCAGTCAGTTCCAGGACAGCCAGAAGTACATAGTCCAACCCCATCTCCCATGCAAAAATCAGTCAAGCAAACAAAAAATACAAAGAACTCAGCAGTATCTTACTGACATTGCTACAGAGAATCCTGTATTCATCTTCCAGAAACCTGAACTTCTCCACTTGAAGCTGTAACACCAGTAAGACTGTACACTAACAGGCACTACATGCTTTAAACAGGTACAAGAGGACAGATGGAAACATTAGCAAATTAAATGTGGATAATAAATAATCCATACAGAGGCAAAGAGATACCTCGTTAGTAAAGAGCTCTTGCTCCTCTGGCACAGAGGAGGACTCAATTACTACTATTTGCTTCAGGGAACATAACTATCAATTATTCAAGTTCAGTGTTTTTGAAAACATCTTTGATCATTGTGAGGATCAGGTACCTGTGTGGTGCATGTCCATGCTTATAGGTGAAATATGAATTTTCATTAAAAAAATTAAAAACAAAAGCAATAGGCAGGAAGAAGGTGATGTATGTGCAATGCAGTGAATCAGAAGGCACAGGCAGTATTTCTGTCGTGAATACATGCCATCCTGGGAAACCAAATGATAATTTCTGCCAAATTTGAAAATTCAAAGTGTAAGTGAAGCCCAGTTTAACAGCAAATACTTGGCATGGTCAAAAACCTACATTCCAGGCACATCACACAATAAGACAGAAAGTCAGGAATGTTGGCCCACTTTTAATCTCAGCATTTGCGATACCAAGTCAAGGGGATCGGTGAGTTGGAGGTCATTCTGGAGCCAACTGAGTGGACAGAGCTACTTTCAAGACAGCTAGGGCTACAAAGAAAATCCTTGTTTTGACAAACAAACAATTAAAAACCAGAAAGGTAGCAAACTGGCTTAGCACTGACTAGCAGTTGCTTCTCCTACATCTTACGTGATGTAGAGATAGTCTTTAATGGTGGAGGCACGACAGCACAAGAAGGAAGCTGGCTGAGTAGTATCAACTACAACACAGTAGACACAAAGGACAGGAAATGAATTGATGCTATAGAGACCCATATCACCCTAAGAAGAAAACCATCCAGAAAGTCTCGTCCTAATAAAAGGTTCACAAGCAATTGAAAGAAAGTCACCAAATAAACAAATGTTCGAATATATCAACATCTGGTAAGTTTTAGATTCAATCAACTACATAGGCTCATTATAGGCTAATGGTCATCCACGAAGAAAATACAATTTGTCACTTCAACGATCCTCATAATCTGCAATGACCCCTACACCGCTCCAACGTCCAGGTCTCTCCAGACACACAAGACAATCTCTTGACAGTAGCATCTTGTAAATTCAGAAAAAAAGTTACATCTTTCCTATACACAATCGCACAGCACACTAGTCATCTTCTGAAAGACATTAAAGGAGATACGACGAGGAAAGGCAAGACCAAAGCACAGTAGCCGCACTAGTCTGCCATAAAAACCTGGCTGTAGTGGTGCATGCCTTTAATGCCAGTCCTAGAGAGAAAGAAATAATGGGAGGAGGCAGCTCTCAGACAGTGCCATTCGGGAATTCCTGGAGGCAGGATCGCCATTTCAGACTGAGGTAGAGGTAAGAGCCAGTGGCTGACGGTTTTGCTTTTTTGGCCTTCAGGTTGAACCCCACTATCTACCTCTGTTTTTCTATTAATTGTGCTACAGGCCTGGTATGGATAAGGTAGCTATCTGAGCATGAGACAGTGAGAAGGCAAGAGGAAATCTGGGAAACAGTCTTTACCCATTGAATTTCCTTTTCCTGACCAGCTTGAATTTCTATCCTAAACTCCCAAAATGGCAGACTATAACTCAAAAGAATCAGCCAAATAATCCTGTTTTTGCTGGGAATCCTTTGGTTAATGGATTCAATTACAGCAACAGAGAAGAAAGTTAGAACAAAAACAGGACACCAAAACTGAATTTGTTCCTAGGAAAAAGCAGGGAATGTTGTCTTTCAGAAGAGTGTGGGAGATATCAAGACTTTATGGGCAAAAACCATAGGAAGCTGTACACAGAACTTAATCATCTGTTCTTTCTGGACCAGGAAGATGAGGATACTGAGAGTAATGGCAGAAAGTGGAGATAGCGATGATAGGATTTCAGTCAGAACTAGATAGACTCCGTAAGAGTTTGAGCTAGAGGTCATTTGTGTGATATTTTGGCTCCAAAGTCCATTTTTAATTCTGTCTATGTCCTAGAAACCAATAGAGCATACTTAAGTAGTCGGGGCTAATTTCTTAAATGCAGCAGTGAATCTGTTGGATGGTTATTACTGATGACTCATTCAGATCTACAGTGAAAAATTTTGGAAATGTCAATGTTTCAATTGTGGTAAACAAGGTCATCTAAAAAGGGGTTAGGTTATGAACAGGACACTCCTAAGCATAAATCAACTATTATTAAGGCCTGTTAGAACTCATGCCACAAGCTACAATCACGTTGATAACAGTACAACCCATAGAATCAGAGAGGCTAAGAAACAAAAAGGATTATAGGGGCGATGTATGGCTTCCCTAGCAAGAGGAAATAGATCGTGTGGATGCATTAGAAGCAGGTGCGCATGGGAACCTGAGGGGTCAGGTGAGTAAGAAAGGGACAGAGGTGGAGAGCACAGGGAAGATGACTGGAAAGTAGAGCTTTTAGTGGAGGACATGGAAACAGCGCAGTGCACACAGTCTGGGACTATGAGGGTGACCCGGTGAGAACTCCTAGTAATCAAGACTATGGAGGCTGAACCAGCCATCTTCTGTAACCGCATAAGGCTCCTAGTGATGCAATTGGGATACCAAGCCATCGACAAAACTTTTGACTCACACTTGCCCTGCCTGCAGGATATGTTAGGTCAATGGTGGCTCAGAGCTTCTGTACTGGCCAACCAATGACTGGGCTAATGCATAAGATGTGAAAGGAAGCCCATACCCAACACTGCCAGGATGGCCAGCACCCAGACCTTGGATGTTCAGAGAATTAGAGTAGAACCAAGATACAACTGACTGAGAAAAAAAAAATCAACGAAATGATGTGTACCTAAATTCTCCTGTAATCATATATTGGTGCCTAGCCCAACAGTAGTCAGAGAGGCTTCTTCTGACAGCGATGGGAGTACATGCACAGACTCTTACCCAAGCCCGAGCTCTAGGACTCCAGTGGGAGTAGAGAATGATTGTAGGAACAAAATCAAAGGACCAAACCTAACAATAATAGGAATAAAAGGAGAAGAATCTCAGTTCAAAGGCAAAGAAAACATCTTCAAAAAAATTGATAATCAAAAATTTTCTTAACACAGCCCACAAAATCAAGTAAGCAGAGCTCATCGAGTCTCACAGAAACAGAAATCACAGGGACTGCAGGGGTGGGAACATGGATCTCTGCATACATGTTATGGCTCGTCAGCTTAGTGTAGGTGGAGGTGGTTCATCCAGTCTTGGCCACAAGAAATAGCCACATAGAAACTGTATTGATGAAAACACTGCTTGGCTTATTACTCATGCACGTTTCTAGCTAGCTCTCATATCTTAAGTTTATCCATTTTTATTAATCTGTACATTGCCACATGGTTATGGCCTACCAATGGTAAGGTCCTGTCTGATTGTTTGACTCCACCTACTCTCTTTTCCTCTATCTGCCTGGAATGCCCACCTTGCCCTAGCTGGCCCTGTGATAGGCCAAAAGCAGCTTCTTTATTATTTTTTTTTAACGTAGTAAAAAGGCAGCTTGCTTGATTCTTGGAATGTAGATGGGGAACAGGGGTTTCCTGTGGCCTCCCAACATGAGCGTCACCAAGACTGAGAAACCAAACGAGTGGCACATTTGAAAGCTGCATCACTGGAAGAGGTTTTAGGTATCTCTCACTCAGCCCATCTTCCTTTCTCACGGGGTCCAGGCCTCCCAACTCCCACCAGATCTCTAGGCTAGGTGAGGTCTACCCTGTTGCCAGTTGGGTTTGGCTTCTCAAACCCCTGAACATCTAAGCTTCTTGCTCAGGTTACTAAAAGTGGCTCTGCTCCAGGTGGCATAGGCCAGGGGTCAACAAACTCTTTTTGGATGGATACTGTGCCCACAATCCCTGTGATTTCACTCTCAGTCACATGGGTGCACCCCAAAAGCCAGCTCAGATCCTTCCTGCCATTCCTCAGAGTAGAGACCACCAGGACAGCTGCTTCCTCTTCTTCCCCATCCCCTTCCTTTCCCTCCCACCCAACCTCCTTCCCAAAGCAGCTTCTTTATTAACCAATGGTATTTACAGCATCCAGAGGGGAATCCCACAGTTTGTTGTTTTTGTGGAACTCCTACAGTGGGTGAGGGGGTGTCTCTGACTCTTGCTTATTCTTGGAAATCTTTTCCTCCTACTAGGTTGCTTCGTCCATCCTTGATATAAGGGCTTGTGCCTGGTCTTATAGTACCTTGTTATACAAGAGTTTGTTGATATCCTTGGGATTTCTGTCATATTCTGAAGAGAAATTTAGAAGTGGATCTGGTGGAAAGAGGAACAGTGGAGAGGATAGGGAGTAGTGGAGGGAGGGGAAATTCCATTTGGGATGTATTGAATGAGGATAAATTTAAATAAAAAGAAGGAAAGGAGTGTGGACACAGTGAGGGAAGACTGGACCCAAGCAAGACTAAAACTCAACAGGGCAAACGACAAATCCTGTAGCTCTGTCTCAGACAGGAGGGGCTTCATTCTCAAAGGGCTTAGATAACTGTCCCTGAAAATTTTCATACATGTCTCTCTTATGTTACTTCTACTCCCTGTATGCAGCTCTCCATAGCAGATGTCTCATAACTTGGGTATCTCAATATCCCATCATCTCAACATAATACAACACTGACTTCATCTTCAGTTTCATGCAACGAACTCCGAGTCTCCTCACTGAATTTCTATTCCAAACTTAGATAGGTGCAAAATGGGTGAACTAAAGAAAACCACAGTGGAAGAACCTATGACCAATAAATTTTGTATTTTTCTTGTATCCAGAACTAGTACAAGTACAACATGGGTTATGCCCCCAAATTTGGCTTCTAAGTAGTGATAGAACCTACCATGCTTGGACCAGAGTTGCAGCAGGCTCTGTATGAAGTTGCCTTTTGGGATTAGGAATCAAGTTGCCTATTCCTTCCATAAACTGAAGGATTTAATGGCTGGAATCTTACCCCTAGGGTACCTTTCTAGGCTTCATAGATTAAAAAGGGCCTTTGCTGGCCAGTGCTCATCTTATGCACTGGGCTTCTCAACTTTGCTAATAACAGAAACGGATTGGACGAGGAGGGGTGTTCCAACTGATTGATCTTGCCTATGTGGACAAGTTGGCTGCTGAAATCTGTACCATGACACACAGAAAATGGCTTATTTCTCAAACCTCTAAGCTGACTTAACTGTGAAGCAGGACTAAAGAGTCTGCACCGGAGAATTCCCTAACTACACAGCCAATATTCACCAGCTTTAGGTAACTCTAACTGTACACCACCAATGTGGCCAGTGTTTATTCACATGACATGAGTTACATGCTGGGCAATTACAGACTTACTCCTCCTGCCACACCCAGGGCCTTTTTCATACTGGTGACCCCAGCAGCTGACTGCCTGCCCTGTTTCCCCCTGCAGTGTACACAAACGATTCCTCCTATTCTGGTCCGAAGGCTCCATGTGGAAATCCTTCTCCTGTTACTGCAATGGACAGTCGACCCCGACTCCATGACTCAAATGGATAATTTTAAAATTCTGAGGTGGTGCAATCATTTAATTTAAGAATTTTGGAGATGTAATATGGAGGACAACAAAGTCATCGCCCTGGAGTGCAAAGTCTGAAATCAGGGCCACCTGGGTCACCAGCAGAGAGCAGTCTCAGAAACAGTTTCTAAAAGGCTGCGAATGCAGCTGCTCTAGGAATACTGTGTCCTCCCAGGGAGAAATCACTCCTCACAATTAAGAGATTAATAGAGAAAAATCTCTGATGAGAGCCTGCATCTATCTCTGTCTAATACTCAGAGGAGCAGCATAGGCAGAGTCTGCATTCCACATCTGCTGTCATCCCTAATTTCTCTTATGGTCATGCACCAGGTTACACTCTGAACAATTTAAATAGGGACAGGAGACAGCAAGTGTGGACACTTAGGCAGATGGGAGACACAGAAAAGACATTATCAGAATTATTTCGGAAGGACCCCAGTGACCTGATGCATCAGGTCTTTCTTCAGTGACAGGGTCCTGAGGGGAAAGGGACTGGGAAGGAGAAAGACAGGAAAAGGAGAAGACAGAAAAGATAAAAGCTGAAGTGGGGAGGTCTTGTACAAGCTGTGTCTCCTGCCAAGCAAGCTTCTAAAGAATAGTACCTTGTCTACTACTTACATGGGTGATGGAAAGAAATGGGGAGCTTCTATGAAGTCAGCAGAAACTACCATAAAATGAGACAAATTCAGGAGGAGGCTAATCCAGCAGTGGTTGTTACACAAGGGTAACACAGGGCATCTGAGGAACAGTACAGATTAAGCCTACACTGCCCTTGAGATATATAACCTTAGCTCCTGGTGGTGGGAAGAGCTGGGCTCTTAGGATCTGAAGGAACCCCTCCACAAAGGCCCTGGACCCAGACCTGCTGAATATTCTTGGTGTTAGAGAAGGAGTTCTGTTTTAATCTTCAATACATAAAAGCCACCTACACAAAGCTAAGAAGGCCTAGCCTCCAGGCTGTTTCTCCCTCTTCCCAAGAATGTTCCTCCTCCCTGCCTGAGGGCCTAAATAAAACCCTGGCTTGACCAGACCAGTCCTTAAGGCAAGAGTGTTTTCCTTTTCAAATACTTGTCACCTGGTGTCATACTGCCCCATCACTCAGAACAATGCTTTTCTCAAGAAAACTGGAACTTTATAGCCGGGCGGTGGTGGTGCACACCTTTAAACCCAGCACTTGGGAGGCAGAGGCAGGCGGATCTCTGTGAGTTCGAGACCAGCCTGGCCTACAGAGCTAGTTCCAGGACAGGCTCCAAAGCCACAGAGAAACCCTGTCTCGAAAAACCAAAAAGAAAAGAAAAGAAAATTGGAACTTTAAGGCACACATAAGGTCGGCTGTGACTCTGGAATGCCTCCCTGAGCACCTTGTTAGAAGAATGGGCCTAGAGGCTGGCTGGTTGTCAGTCAGGGATGTCTCCTTTGTAAAGAGCTAAATGTCTGGATAATCTGGTGAAAACATAAGTACCCTAGTATCCTTATCTTTACTGTGGGACCCTCACCCCTTATTCTCAAAGGGGTAAGAAGAAATTTCAGAAGATAGTGGCCTTCCCCTCTCCCACCCAGGAGATTCCCAGCACAAGGTCACTTAGCTCAGCCCAACCAGCCACCTGGTACAGGCTGACAGAGATGGCCTAACTCAAGAACAGTGGCCTTGCTCTAAGAACAAGGAAAAAGCTGACTTAACAGAATGGAAGGGAGCAAAAGTCCTTGTACCCGTGCAAAAGCATCTTCAAAGATTCTCTTTGTAGTCATGCCTTTAAAAGCTTACCCCACAGAGGAGATACAACTCCTCTCTACCTTGTAACGGGGATGGAGATGAGTTCCAAACATGTTTGTATTATGCTGATTAAACCTTGCTTATTACAGTCTGGGCCTCTCTGGTGGTCTCTCTCTGGGGGTCGTAATCTGGGCACAACATTTACCAGGCCTGATTAACAGATACTTATTTTTAAGATATTTCAGAAACAATCCTCCCGCAGCTAAATTCTATTTTGAGACATACTACCTAGCCAGCATTATTAAGTCCTTAATGTCACCAAATCCTACTCTTAGGACATCACAGCGAAGTAGTGGAGTGCTACCCAGCACACGAGATGCCTTTTACAGCCTCCACAAAATTAACTGTAAATGGACCTCACACGTAAAGGTTAAATGCAAAGTCCTGAACTTCTACAAAATACTGGAGAAACCAGGCCTCTCCAAGTTAGTCAACCTGCCTTCCATGACTGCACCAAAAGCCCATTGTTGTTAACTACAAATACGTTTCTACACACAGTTCCTTGCTCCTAAGTTATTCACAGGACTGTGCCTGGGTCCAGGGAGCAGCAGGGACCGCATGGGAGCTCACAGGACACGGAATATGACTGCAGATTCCCACCCGGCCCTCAGGACCCGCCACGCTGGAACCTGGATCTCCGCATCCGATTTTCCCCATCTGAGAACAGCAGCCCCTTGCTCACCACGTCGTGGCTTCCCGGCTCACCCATGGTCTTCTCCCAGCTCCTGCAGCGGCACGGGCAGCACAACACGCGAAAACTGCTCCCACCTCCTCCGCAATCCAAAAGGAGCGCAGCGACGCTCACGGAAGAGCCCGGCACGACTTCTGACTGGCAGTTCGGCTCGGAGGCACTGATTGGTTGGTGAGGCTTGAGTGACAAGAGTCCCGCCTTTAGGGTTTCCCCGAGTTTAAAGACACAGGGCTTACAGATTCCCGAGTCAAACTTCCAGTGCCTAGCCAGACTTTCCCAGATCAGCAGAGATTTGCATTTCAATAACTGTTGACCTTGGCTCCGACAGGTAATCCTGACACACACACACACACACACACACACCCGACACACACTCAAACACACAAACACACCCGGACACACACACACACACACACACACACACACACACACACACACACACCCGGCACTCCACAGGCCCATCCTCCTCCCCCTCCCGAGTCAAACTTCCGGTGCCTAGCCAGACTTTCCCAGAGCAGCAGAGATTTGCATTTCAATAACTGTTGACCTTGGCTCTGACAGCTAATCCTGCCACACACACACACACACACACACACACACACACACACACACACACACACACACACACACACCCGGCACGCCACAGGCCCATCCTCCTCTTCCTCCTGCACGCCCTGTGAAAGGCTTGCACAGCCCTTCCTCAAGGTGGAGTGGAGGGATTCCCTGTCCCACAGGTGGAAGGGTGCGCAGAATATTAGCATTTTTAAAGAGAAATTTCAGGACACAAAAGGAGATGTTTGCTCTGTGGCTCCACTATGAGGTCAGGTGAACTAAAGGTACTTTTTACCTGACACACGAGCACTTCAGATGTGGAGAAAGGTTTACAAGAATCAGATAAGAAAACAAAATTATAGGTTTGTCTTCCACCACAGGACTGGATGATGATGGCTTCATTTTTTCCAAAGGTTTTCTTCTGGAATTCAGGGCGTACCCTTCATAAATACATAATAAAAAGTGTACCCTTAGGATAATTTTTTTTTATTTTCGAGACAGGGTTTCGCCGTTCACATAAATTGAACATTTAGAAAATAATGAAGTGGCCAGGCGATGGTGGTGCACGTCTTTAATCCCAGCACTCGGGAGGCAGAGACAGGCAGATCTCTGTGAGTTCGAGACCAGCCTGGTCTACAGAGCTAGTTCCAGGACAGGCTCCAAAGCCACAGAGAAACCCTGTCTCGAAAAAAAAAAAAAAAAAACAAAAAAAAAAATGAAGTTAGGAATATTGTCTTTATGAGTACTAGCCAGCACTTTGAGTGTTAGCCAGCTCATCTTCATCAATGGGCAGGTGAAAAAGAAACACAACTCAGGCCCTTACGTGAGCAGGACTGGTAAATAACAATCTCTCCATGCAGACAGAAAGTGGATTTATTAGAATGTCTCACAAGCTGTGGTCCCGCTTGTCCAACAATGGCGTCTAACTAGGGGAAGTTGAAGACTCCAGTAGTTCTTCAGTCCATGAGGCTGGATATCAGTTGCTCTTCAGTTGTAGGAGGAGGAGCGGGCTGTGTCCCACAGCCAGGCTAGCTTAGCCCCCCGAAATAATCACACAGAAATTGTATTAATTAAATGACTGCCTGGCCATTAGCTCTAGCTTCTTATTGGCTAACTCTCACATTTTGATTCAACCCATTTCTAATAATCTGTATGTCACCACGAGGTCGTGGCTTACCGGGAGAGATTCTAACCTACATCTGTCTCAGGCAGGCGATTCATGGTGTCTGCCACACTTCCCTTCTTCCCAGCCTCCTGTTCTGTCTACTCTGCCCACTTAAGGGCTGTCCTATCAAAAGGCCAAGGCAGGCCGGGCGATGGTGGCACACGCCTTTAATCCCAGCACTCGGGAGGCAGAGGTAGGCGGATCTCTGTGAGTTTGAGACCAGCCTGGTCTATAGAGCTAGTTCCAGGACAGGCTCCAAAGCCACAGAGAAACCCTATCTCGAAAAACCAAAAAAAAAAAAATGGCCAAGGCAATCTCTTTATTCAACCAATGAAAGCAACACACACAGAAGAACCTCCTACACCATTTCCCATTTTTCTGTTTAAACAAAAAAGAAAGGCTTTCACTTTAACATAGTAAAATTACATACAACAAAACCGTCATCAAGCAAGAATTACAGTTACCATTTTATGTCTATTTTATCTTTTATCATAATAAGGAAAACTATAACTATCTATTCTTCAACTCCATTAAAGACTCCAGAAGGATATAATATTACCTAAGTAAACAAGAAATAAGCAACTTCCAAAACTGAGGATTGCAGGAATAGAGAGCTGGAATTGGTATGTAAAATAAAAATGTTTTAAAAATAGAAAACGGTACCAAATGAAAAAAATCTTGAGAAGATACTAGAACTTGCAATATCACTTGTGGTCATGGATTGGAACAATTCAATGTTGTGAGGAATGACATTTTTACCAGAAGCAATCTAGAGATTCAATGTAATTTCAGTGGAAATTCCAGTGGCATTCCTCAGAGAAATGGGAAGAAGAATTTTAATATTCATATAGAAGTACACAAGAACCCGAGCAACCAAGATAATCCAAAGTAAAAAGGCTAATGCCAGGGATGTCATTATATTTGATTTCAAGTTGTGCCACAGAGCCATAGTAATCAAAGCATCATGGTACCACCCCAGAAGCAAACTAAGAGATCACAGGAATAGAAGAAAGAGCCTGGCTATCAGGCCATGCAACTTAAGACACATGCTGTTTAACCAAGACACCAAAAATACACATCGGTATAAAAGTGGCCCTAAGGTTAAGGGCATATGTAACCAGTCAGTTTTCAGTAAGAACTGAGTCCTGTTACATAGGTGGGAATTAATGTCACATATTGTAAATCAGGCCCAAAGCTTGGGCTTGGGAACTCCCACACCCTAGGGAGGAAGTTAATAGTGTTGTCTTGCTAAATGAACATGTTCTCAAACTGTGTTTGAAATATCTATGCTTATTCATATAGAACAGTACATTTTAAGTTAGTGGGAATCACCGTGTACTGGGTTTTTCCTTTGGAGGCACTAGGTAGTGACTCTTCCACAAGAACAACATTAACTCCAGTTTTTCCAGAAAACCCACATCTGTCTTTGCTGTTTCTTTGTTGATGGGGCTGCACCCTGCGAACACCTTTGCCCCATCTACATGTCCTGTCTTCTGTGATCAGGAGAAAGTTGTGGAGGTACAGATTGTCTATCAAGTATTTTTATTGCTGGGTCTGGATATACATTCTATAGATGAGAAGGTGGATGATTAGGGTTTTTTTTTAATTTCATTGCCAAGCATTCCATTCTTTTTGACTTAGGAGTACTTGTCTTCAAAATGACTTAATCCTTCAGAGTCATGAGGTATGAGCAAAGCAAATATAGAAACAAACTGGTACTTAACAGCTAAACATCTCTGCAGATGCCTTGCTATTCACATGAGACTCTCATTTAGAAGTCAGAATAATTTATATCAGTGTGGAAAAGGAGCAAAACACAACCCAACAAATACAACCTAGTGGGATTGCAATAAACACACCTAAGTATGTATTAAGTTTTCAATACAAAATGAATTAGATGATTTTTATTTTTTTTTATTTTTTTATTTTTTTTTAAAATATTTATTTATTGATTTGTTATATATAGTCCATCTGTGTTGTGTATATGCCTGCAGGCCAGAAGAGGGCACCAGATCTTATTATAGATGGTTGTGAGCCACCATGTGGTTGCTGGGAATTGAACTCAGGACCTTTGGAAGAGCAGGCAATGCTCTTAACCACTGAGCCATCTCTCCAGCCCCTAGATGATTTTTAATGTAGAAGCGCAGTCCTTGCATTAAAAGATTTTACCCCACTCTATCTGAAATGTTGAAAGCTGACTTAAGACATTTAAGATGACTCGTACTGCAAAGCAGAAGTTGTAGCTTGAGCTCTAATAGGTCTTAATAATCAAAACCTTGAGTCAGATATTAAGGGGAAAATTGAAATTCCAGAGGAGCAAAGCAGTCAACCACCACCAAGACCCTATCTACCTCAGACCAAAGGGGCGATCCTGTCCTCAGACTGACTGCCTCAGACAGACAGGCTGCACTGCATTCCTGCCTCCACCTCCTTTACTTCTGAGATTAAAGTCATGTGATCACAAGTGGTTGGGTCACAGGTGTGAGCTCAGTTTCTCTTTTAGATCTTTTAGAGTACCTCATGTACTCTAGAGAAGGCTTGAACTCATAGAGATCTGTCTGACTCTGCCTGCCAAGTGCTGGTATTAAAGGCATGCACCTCCAATGCCTGGCCTCTATGGCTACCTAGTGTGGCTGTTTAGGATTAAGGTGTGTGCCACCATTGCTTGGCATCTATGGCTGACTAGTTTGGCTAGCTTTGCAGTCTGATCATCAGGCAAGCTTTATTTGTTAGATCATAAATAAAATACCAGCACAGGAATTATCTCTATGAACTTAGTAGTTCCTCACAACATGATACTGCAGACTTAAGGCACTAGAAAGAAACTCCTCTTCCTACAATCTAACCCACTGGCCAACAGTGTCACATTGCTCATAACTTCAAGCACCTAATTGTATCATACATTCATCTTATCAGGGAATTATACACATGAATGCAGAAAGTCTATTCAGGAAAAGAAAGTGCCCTTGAGTCTAAAGATGTATCCGAAAATAAAATTCATGTTGACGTAAACATGAATTGCAATAGTTTATTTTTATCAAATGTTTCTATGTTATAGGTTTTTTTAACCTAAAATAAAAAAATCTGTAATTTAAGTCATTAGTAGAAAATTGAGGTAAATGTCAGTCAATTTTGGTTTTAAATGTGAAACCGAAACAAAAAGTATATTCAAATTCATTTGAATTTTTAAGATTGACTTTTTACAAATGATGTCTAAGGGTATGTGTAAATGAAGACACGTGCCTATGGAGGCCTGAGGTTTTGCTTTCTTGAAACCTAGAATTCCAGGCAGGTGTGAATGACCTGACATGGGGGCTGGACAAACACTTTGGGTCCTCTACAAGAGCAGTGTGTGCTCTGCCCCTCTGAGCCATGGCTCCAGCTCCTCATTAGAGTCTTTAGATAACCTACAGACACTCTAAAATTTCGGTCTTCAGTCACCAGGGATTGAGGATAACGTATCTGTCAACAGATAGATCATTTACTCTCTTACCTAAGATGTCATGGTTCAGATGGTGGTTCTGATTTCTTTTCTTATTAATAGTAATTGAGACCTAACTTCCTGATAAGTCCTGCCTTCACCAGAAGTTACTGAATTTGATCACACCTTCATTAGGGTTTTAGTGCTATGATAAGAAACTATAGTCATGGCAAATTCTATAAAAGAAAACACTTAGCCGGGCGATGGTGGCGCATGCCTTTAATCCCAGCACTTGGGAGGCAGAGGCAGGCGGATCTCTGTGAGTTCGAGACCAGCCTGGTCTACAGAGCTAGTTCCAGGACAGGCTCCAAAGCCACAGAGAAACCCTGTCTCGAAAATCCAAAAAAAAAAAAAAAAACCTTACTGGGGGCAGACTGAGAGGTTCACAATTTTGGTTCATTATTTTGTGGCAGGAAGCATGGCAGATCCCAGGCAGACGTGTGTGAGGCCCACAGCACAGTTGGGAGCCTGTTCCACCTTGACTGGAGGTCAGAGAGGGTGAGCTTATTTTTACTCTTTGACAGTGGATGTGGCTACAAACAGGGTATCTACAGCTGTGAGGATAAAGGAATCCTGAATATTGGGAAGTCAGGCTACAAATGAAGCGATGGAGGGAAAGTATCCAAGATAACTGTGGCACTGTCAAAGATGTTACCCTAGCGGGTGGGAGTCAGGCTATATACACAGCAGTAAACAGAAGGTATCCTGGGAACCTAACGCTGTAAGGAGAAATACTGACTGCCAGGAAGTCAGGCCTTACCTGCAGTTGTGTCCTGGTGGGGTACGGTCCCCAGCATCATGTGGCAACGTTGCTCCTCTCTGAGTCATTAGAGCTGGGCTCCACTCTACTCTGCTAAGAGAACTTCCCAGCGGAGATGTCCATCACCACACTGCTCTACCCCCTCAGGGAGTTTCCCCGAAAACTTGTCCATCACTTTCCTAATCTGCTCCACTAGTGACTATCAGAGCAGAAATGCCCATCACTTCTCTGCTCTGCTCCACTAGGGAATTTCCCAGCAGAGATGTTCATTTCTACTTAGCTCTGGACCAAACTGTTACTTCTCGGCTTCTCTCACCTAAGAAATGTTGCCGCATTTGCTGTGCCCCCGTGATGGAGTATCTGAGCAGAGGTATCCCTTGCTTCTCTGCTCTGCTCCACTAGGGAGATTACATGCAAGGTTTCTGCTCTGCTTGAGTGAAGGGTCTCCACCAAAATCTGGCTCAAAGGATTTATTTAGGAGGTATGAATCCAGGAGAGTGGTTGCCTCTAGCACAGCAGAAAATGTCAGCTGCCTTCTGTTAGGCACAGAGATTATATAGGGCCCCTTAGAGGCAGAGTTTTCCAGGAAGAGTATTTCGAGGGTAAGAATTGGTTGGATTTCAATTCCTGAGCTTAAACAAGCTCAGGATATGGTGAGTTTCATGCTGTGATTGGTTGGTTGTGTGCTCAGGGATTGGTTGGTTTTCCTGCACAGGGATTTCAAGCTCAGTAGTAGGTTAGGGGTAGAGTGTGAGTTTTTACTTTGATTTTAGGCCCAATGTGCCTTTCACTGGTTCTGCTGTCAGACCTGTGTTGAGACTGAAAAGCATAGCCCCCTTCCATGTACGGTTCCCGAGATGCAGGAAGCAGTTCCCTCCAGGTAACCTAATGGCAGCTAAATGAGCATGCTCCTTGAGTACCAAGGAGAAAACATGTACGTGCCCCAAAGGACCACTATTATGGAATCTGCTTATGCATTCAGCAATGTTACAGATGATTCTGATTATGCAATTCTGCTAGTGCACTTGTTCTTCATGTTCTTTTTCTCTTTCCTCACTAGTAGCTTCTGAAAATATATATGTGCTGTACAATATCAGTCTTTCTGATCAGAGAGAGTGGGCAGGCATTAAATCTATGAAGCAGGTTATGGGAAAAAACCTGGCTGATGAAAGAATTGCAGAAATTTGGGAAAATGCAGAAATTGTTTTGTTTACCTGATTATAAAACTTGGTAAAAGAATTATACTGAAACAGAAAAGAACTTGGTTATGATCAACAAAGTTCCTGAAGAACCTAGGGCTGACTGCCTATGGACTTATAAATCAAATTGAAGTTATGACAATGTAGTAAAACCCACTGAACTATGCTTCTGTAAACTGCAAGCAGTTAGCCTCTGAGGTAAAACCCTCAGAAGTTGTTCTATGATTAACTCAGCTAAGAATTAAGAATATAGTGACTGGCATGGGGTTAGGAACTGGGAAAATGTCAAAATGAATGATTGTGTTCTGATATCAAAGAATCTTTATACTTCTTGTGAACTGCTTTGTCCCTGTAATGATTAACCTGTGGCAAGAAAAAAGAATCATTTTCCTTGTGTAAAATTTACAATAAAAGACTGAGGTTTGAAGCTCGGGGCAAGGAACAGAGGAAGAGGAAGAACTTGGCCTGCAGCTGATGGTCTGTCAGCTTGCATCAGACTCCTGTATTCCTGGTCTCATTTCACCTTCCAGACATCCCAGACTCGAGACCCACTTCTCTGCTGAGGGTGTGTTTTTTGACTCGAACTTTTTCCCTACACATAGGGCTTTATAAATTCTTAAACTGATTTTTTTCCCATCATTTGCAGAGGCAAACAATATAAAAACGGACATCATAAATCTTGAACAGATGGGTGACACTGTCAAACTTTTCCAGAGTAAATGCTCTTTCATGTGTGTTGGATACAGAGCTTACCAAATACTTTACAGATAATATGCTCTCAGAATATTTTATAGGCACTCAAAGATTATTATTATTTTTTTTTTTTTGGTTTTTCGAGACAGGGTTTCTCTGTGGCTTTGGAGCCTGTCCTGGAACTAGCTCTGTAGACCAGGCTGGTCTCGAACTCACAGAGATCTGCCTGCCTCTGCTTCCCGAGTGCTGGGATTAAAGGCGTGCACCACCATCGCCAGGCTCACTCAAAGACTATTGCAATAAACAAAGGCTTTAATAGATTGACTGCACACAAACAGGTTTACTCCTGTATAAACTGCAAAATTTTGTCACACTGACTATATTTTTAGGGTTTATCTGCAGTACATCTTTTTCTGATAAGTTCATAGATTGCTGATTAACGCAAAGACATTACCACAGTGATTCATAGGGTTTCTCAACAATATGTGTTCCCTCATGTAGTTGAAGACCATTATGGTGAGGAAATGCCTTACCACATTGATTACACTCATACGGTTTCTCTCCAGTATGTGTTCTTGTATACATTTGAAGATTACTGTGACATTCAAAGGCTTTATGATATTGACTATATTAATAGGGTTTCTCTCCAGTATGTCTTCTTCTGTGTGTTTGAAGATTACCATGTTGTGTAAAGGCTTTACCACATTGATTACATTCATAGGGTTTCTCTCCAGTATGTGTTCTTTTATGCATTTGAAGAGCATTGTGAGAAGTGAAGGCTTTACCACACTGATTACATTCATAGGGTTTCTCTCCAGTATGTGTTCTTTTATGTGTTTGGAGGTGACCAATTTGTGCAAAGGTTTTAGCACACTGATTGCATTCATAGGGTTTCTCTCCAGTATGTGTTCTTTTATGTATCTGAAGACTACTGTGACATGCAAAAGCTTTACCACACTGACTACATTCATAGGGTTTCTCTCCAGTATGTTTTCTTCTATGTGTTTGAAGATTAGTGTGTTGTGTAAAGGCTTTCCCACATTGATTGCATTCATATGGTTTCTCTCCAGTATGGCTTCTTTTATGAATTTGAAAAGATTTGAAATCAGCAAATGCTTTTTCACATTGGTTACATTCATAGGGCTTCTCTCCAGTATGTATTCTTTTATGTATTTGAAGACTACTGTGACATGTAAAGGCTTTACCACATAGATTACATTCATACGGTCTCTCTCCGGTATGTGTTCTTTTATGGCATTTAAGATGACTTTGCTGTGCAAAGGCTTTAGTGCATTGATTGCATTCATAGGGTTTCTCTCCAGTATGTGTTCTTTTATGTACTTGAAGATTTCTAGGATGTGCAAAGGCTTTACCACACTGATCACATCCGTAGGGTTTCTCTCCAGTATGTATTCTTTTATGTATTTGAAGATTACTATGATGTGCAAAGGCTTTACCGCACTGATCACATCCATAGGGTTTCTCCCCTGTATGTGTTCTTTTATGTAACTGAAGGTTTCTATGATGTGCAAAGGCTTTACCACACTGATCACATCTATAGGGTTTCTCTCCACTATGTGTTTTTTTATGCATTTGAAGATTCCTAGGATGTGCAAAGGCTTTACCACACTGATCACATCCATAGGGCTTCTCTTCAGTATGTGTTCTTTCATGCCTTCGGAGATGACTGTGAGGAGTAAAGGCCCCACCCCATGGATTATATTCATAGGGTTTCTCTTCAGTCTGTGCTCTTTCATTCATTTGAAGATTTCTCTCACGTTCACAGGCTCCACCACATAGACTAACTTCATACAGTTTCTCTCCAATATGTGTGCTTTCATGCCTTTGAAGATGCCTGTCATAAGCAAAGACTTTAACATACTGACTACACACAGAAGGTTTCTCTCCAGTGTGATTTCGTTCAGGCCTGCAAGGATAATTGACACATGTAAAAGATTTATCATGTTCAAATCACAGTTGAATCTTCATATCTATATGAATACATTTTACTATTTAGTCCAACTATGAAGAGGAATAAGATCTCAAGGATTTTATTACTGGGTTTACACTTATTTTGTTCCCCTTCATTTCAGGTTGTTTTCACCTTTGAAGATACCTGTGATGTTAAGATACTTTATTAAAGAGTTCACATTTACAGAATCTTTCTTGTGTATGAGATTTTTCACGTATTTGCAGAAAAATAGAAAACTTCAGATATAGACATGTGGTATAGAGTAAGGTTTCTCCATAACAACTGCCCCCAGACCCTTGACTCTAGATGCCCATCTCACTAAACTTAGCACAGTCACAGCAAGACAATTAGGAACACTAGTTTACTATGGACTGTGAGCTTATTAGAAGGTTCTAGAGCTGCACTTATCACCTCTTCAACACGTATACATTTTCTAAAATAAGTGATATGAGACTAAATAGATTGGCAGTTCTGCAGCATAGCTCTCATTTAGCTATGATTCAAATGGTGGTATCGTTAAGGCCTTCTTTTCTTGTTTATTAAAAGAACGGCTTACAGATGTAATTCATCTTCTTGAAATTGAGGTATATGATTTAATGGGAATTTCACAATCATCAATGCTCATGAAGCTGGGCTTATTTACACTGTTGCTTTTGCATAAAAATTCCAGGACACATTACAATTTCTCCAGAGGCACATTGTATCAGTTTGCACATGGTAATTACCTTTCTTGTCTTCTAGAATTTTGAAAATGTTCTTCAATATTATGGTCTTCCCAACTGTATCCTACAATATAGCAGAAAATTTAAGGTTTATTACTAAAAGTGTTCAAAATGTAAATTACTACCTTAAGTACACCTTACAACCATGTCTGATTTAGTCACCTCATTCTTCTTTCTCAATCAAATTATAGAAGAACATCAAAAATTAAGGAAAAGCTGTCCCCTTATTTAAAACCCTGAAGGAAAACTCAGTCTTACCTATGACAGTGAGGTTCCTGTAGGTGTCCAACATCACATCTTTGTAGAGATTCCTCTGGGAAGGATCCAGCAATGTCCATTCTTCCCAAGTGAAGTCAACATGCACATCATCATAGGTCACTGCATTCTGAAATATCCATACATGTGTACAACAGAAAGCATGATAGTGACAACATTGTAAATGTACACTTCTTTGACAATATGGTCATATATTCTGGTACTCCCTGCACGTAATCCATTATATAGACATTACAATGTAATCACCAAGTCACGCTGGAAGGAAAATGAACAGGAGTTTAACCTCTCTCATTTCTGTACCCTGTAAATAGGATATCACCTTGCAACAGAAAGGCCTATTAAAAACATAGAAACAAGTAAAATAGATCAACAGCACAGAGTACACAGGAGAGAAATTGCATGAACAATTATTAACTACAGAAGAAAATAAAATGGATAGGCTGGGTATATTGTCTCACACGTTTAAGCACTGCAGTCAAAAGTCAGAGGCAGGAGGTATATCTGCCCTGGAAATGGATGCCAGCCTGGTCTATGCAGTCAGATCCAGGACAGACAGAATTACAGATTAAGACCATGTGTTTCTTGCAAAATTCAGTCAAACAAACAAAAAAATAGAAAGAACTCAGAGGTTCCCACTGATGTTACTACAAAGAGATCTGTATTCATCTTCCAGAAACCCAAAGTGTCCCAGTTTAAACTGTAACATCAATAAGATATTACTACAAGACACTGACTGTTTAAACAGCTATGAATACACAAATGAAAACAGCAAATTAAATGTTGTTCATAAATAATCAACACAGCGTAGAGGGATATCTCATTAGTAAACTGCTCCTGCTGGTCTTACACACTTGGGCTAAATTCCCAGTTTTTACCTCAGAGAACACAATTATCCATTTCTACAAGTTCAGGGTTTTTGAGAACATCTTTTGATCACGTGAGGACCAGGTACCCATGTTCTGTATTTACATACTTACAGGTAAAACATGCATTTTTATCAAAAATTCAAAGAAACATAACAGGCAAGATGAAGATGACATACATGCAATCTAGTGAATCAGAAGTCCTGGGCAGTATTAATGTCACGAATACATGCCATCCTGGGAAACCGAATGATAGCCACTGCTGAATTTTAAAATTTAAGGTATAAGGGGCTGGAGAGATGGCTCAGCGGTTAAGAGCATTGCCTGCTCTTCCAAAGGTCGTGAGTTCAATTCCCAGCAGCCACCTGGTGGCTCACAACCATCTGTAATGAGGTCTGGTGCCCTCATGGCCTTCAGGCATACACGCAGACAGAATATTGTATACATAATAAAAAAAATTAAAAATAAATAAATAAAATAAAATTTAAGGTATAAGTGAATCTCAGAACAACAGCACACACTTGTCATGGTCAAAAACCTTCATTCCAGGCACATCAGAATAATATGAAAACAAAAAAGCCAGGATTGTTGGCCCTCTTTTAATCCCTGCACTTGGAATATGGAGTCAAGGGAATCTCTGAGTTTGAGGCCACTCTTGACACCAGACAGGTATACAGAGCTACTTTCAGGACAGCCAGGGCTACGAATAAAAACCTTATTTTCACAGAAAAATTATTAAAAAAACAGAAGGGTAGGAAACTGGGTGAGTACTGAACAGCAGTTGCTTCGACTGCATGTTACACGATTTCGAGATAGAGTCTCTAATGGCGGTGAAGGCACGATAGCACAAGAAGGAAGCCGGCGGAGGAGTTTCAACTACAGTGCAGTAGACACAAAGAACAAAAAATGAGCTGAGGATATAGAGACTCATATCACATCCCCAATGAGGAAAACCATCCATAAAGTCTCTTCTTAATAAAAGTTTCACAGGTAATTGAAAAAAGTCACCAAAGAGACAAATGTTCAAAGTCATCCCTATCTGGGAGGTTTTATATCCAATCACCTACATACTGACCCCGGTCACTAAAGCTAATTGATGGGTATCCGTGAAGAAAATGCACGTGGTCACTACAGTGACTCTCATAAATTAAATGTGATTTGGGATTTGGAGTGTCCCTCTCTCCTTCTCTAAACCCTAGCATGTGTGTTAACGTAAAATCCAAAATCTCTGTCTCATGTCAGAAAAGGCATGTGGAATGGGACAGAAGAAAAAAATTAGAAAAAATAGAAAAAAGACTATTGTATTGCCACTATCCTCAACCCTTTAATTTTTTTAAAATTTTTTTTTATTGAAAAAATTTCCGCCTCCTCCCCGTTTCCCATTTCCCTGCTCTCCCCCACTCCACTCCCCCTCCCCCCACTTCTCTTCCCCTCCCTCTCCAGTCCAAAGAGCAGTCAGGGTTCCCTGCCCTGTGGGAAGTCTAAGGTCCTCCCCCTCCATCCAGGTCTAGGAAGGTGAACATCCAAGCAGGCTAGGCTCCCATAAAGGCAGTACATGCAGTAGGATCAAAACCCAGTGAACCCTTTAATTTTTTTAAAAAAATTTATTTATTTATTATGTATACAATGTTCTGCCTGCATGTATGCCTGTAGTGAGCCGGACAGGATCGCCATTACAAGATGGTTCCGACATCCTGTCTTGTTGGAAATAAATAACTCCATATTTGGCTATGCCTTTGAGAGCTGCTCGTCCCCCGCTTCCCGCATGCGCGGTGGATGAGGATCCTTGAGCCTATCCCGATGCGGTCTGATGTCAGCTGTTGGTGGCAGCCAATCACAGGGTAACCCGTGTGCCATTTCCCTATTTAAGCAGCTGCCTAAGAGCCCTTCACCCCTTCGCTTCATGCTGTCTCTCCGCTTAGCTCCCTGCCCCTTCGCTTCATGCTCTCCCTGCCCTTCCCTTCTTGCCCCTTGTTTTCCTGCCCCCCTTGTTTCATGCTCCCCATCAATCAAGGGTACTCCAGTAAAGCGTGATCTGAGTGGAATCCTGATGTGGTCGTTGTTCTTTCTAGCCGGTCAAGAGGTCCGCCACATATGCCTGCAGGGCAGAGGAGGACACCAGATCTCATTACAGACGGTTATGAGCCACCATGTGGTTGCTGGGAATTGAATTCAGGACCTTTGGAAGAGCAGTCTGTGCTCTTAACCACTGAGCCATCTCTCCAGCCCTCCTTTAAAATTTTTGACTACTTACCAGCTTTTCTTGAGATTATATGCAGTACTAACTAATTCTTTAAAAGGCTTCATCTAGATACCTGTACATGATTTCAGCTTTGAGTTCCTATCAGGAAAGTAGGAATTACTTTTTTGCACTCTGGAGATATATATATATATATATATATATATATAATCAAATATTGATCTTTTAACCTCTTTGAGATCTGCTGCATAGAATATTTAAAATATTCATGTTTCCTGCAGTGAACCAAGACCAGGCGTAACAATAACTTCTGAAGGTCCCAAAAGGAGGCTGGGCCCCACGCTGATGATTCCATCAGGACTATGATAACCACACTAAGCTAAAAAACACCACTAAAGATTGACTTTGGACTACAAACTGCTCAGGACAATTTTGAAGTGGCTACCTGAGATAATCCTGGCTCAAACTACTCTAGCTAGGAACTGAGACAAGTCCTGGACTTCCTATTGCAGAGCTACTGGACAACACATGATATAGCTACTTCACTGAGTATTGACCATCCAAATTTTACTTTTCGGGATCACTGAAAGATGCTGTTACCCCCAGGCAGCAGGAAGTAATTTTGAGAACACCATGCCAACATCCCCAGAGATAGGAGTGGGTGGTTTTTGATCATTTAGTGGGTTATGGATATTTCTCATTGTTTATGGGGGTTGGTTACAAGTTGTTATTGGTAACTGTAAGAAAAAAAATTGAAAAAAGGACTTTAGATTCAGAGTTCTTATTTTCAAAAGAAAAATGGGGGATATAGATATGATAGGATATAAAGATAGATTATTGGATCTACTCTGAAAACAAAGGAGATATGGAAATAGGATAAAAGGGAGATTATTGAATTGACCTTTCAAACAAAAAAGCAACTACTTCTTTTCAATATTTTACATTGCCTTGGATTTTTTGTATATTGATATAAATTTGAAGGTTTTTTTCAGAACACACTGTATATACATTTCTAGGGTTATTCAAGGATTTGTTACTATGCAAGTCATTTAACAATGTAATGTGTATTTTTAGCCCTTGAAAGTTATGATTACCAACTATGTAGGACAATAAGGAAATGCAGGTTAGCAATTAGTCTCTTATCACAAAAGAACTGATAGACATATTAAGTATGTATTCAAGATCAAACAGAGATATATTTTAGATAGACAGGTTGTCTTCAAATACTTCACAGATCTGCGCATATGGCATTTAAGAAGGTACGAAAGGTCTGTAGAATACCTGCTTCACAGAAACATGTGTCCAACATGCAAAGCCTGTAGGCTGAAGATGGGTGACCCAACATTGCAGAGGAACCTTGGGTCACTGATGTGGGATTCCCCTCTGTATGCTGTAAATATATTTTATTACCATTGGTTAATAAAGAGGCTGTTTGGGGCTTATAGCAGGGCACAATATAACCAGGTGGGAAATCTGTTATACAGGGAGAGTAGGTAGTCAGGGAGACACCACGTAGCCTCTGAAGGAGAAAGACGCCAGCCACCAGTCAGAACCTTGCCAGTAAACCAAGAGCCTCGTGGGAAATACACAGAATATAGAGGTGGGCTAACTTAAGATGTAAGAGTTAGCTCATAAGAAACTTAAGCTATTGGTCAAACAATATTGTAATAAATATAGGTTCTGTATAATTATTTTGAGTCTGGGAAGCCAGAAAATGAACAAGCAGCCACCACCTACAGGTGACTGTCCATGTATCCAACTGTTCCTGTCATTTTTTCTTTCTTTTTTTTTAAAGATTTATTTATTTATTATGTATACAACATTCCTTCCATGTGTGCCTGCACGCCAGAAGAGGGCGCCAGACCTCATTACAGATGGCTGTGAGCCACCATGTGGGTGCTGGGAATTGAACTCAGGACCTCTGGAAGAGCAGCCTGTGCTCTTAACCGCTGAGCCACCTCTCCAGCCTTCACTTTTTCATCTTTTGGATGTCGCTTGCTTGCATTTCCAGCTTACTCTAGTAATATTATATCCTTCTTTGGCCTCTGATAGAGCTGAAGACTTTATAGTTATACTTTTCCTTTTTACCAGATTCAGCAAAGAAATTCACTAAAGAGGTATAAAGAATGTACGGTTGACAGACAATGAAAGATAGTTGATAGTTTTGGTAATGCAAGTTAGAATAGAAAATGAAATAGATACAAATTTTGGACTTACCAAGATAGGATATGGAGTACTTTCACTAAATTTGTCAATTACTATATACTAGACATTATTGATGTATTTATTGATTATATATAGTGTATAATCATTGTACTTATTAAGTATAGACTTATATTTTTTTGTTTTTTTTTTTTTTCGAGACAGGGTTTCTCTGTGGCTTTGGAGCCTGTCCTGGAACTTGCTCTTGTAGACCAGGCTGGTCTCGAACTCACAGAGATCCGCCTGCCTCTGCCTCCCGAGTGCTGGGATTAAAGGTGTGCGCCACCACCACACGGCCTTAGACTTATATTATTTATGACGTTTGTTTTTTATTTTAAGACAAAAAAGGGGAAATGTGGTGATATTTGTATTCTAACAAATAAAGCTTGCCTGAAGACCAGAGGGTGTAGCTACCCACGCATTAACCAAAGCGGTCTGGAAGAACGTGCCAACAGAAAGGAAGTGACACGGCTGGGCAGAGAGGAGACAGGACCTCCCTCTCTTCAGCAGAGAAACTGGCTAGGTCAAGTACGGCTGTGACTGGTCCTTTGCCTTGCTGATCTTTCAGCATTTACTCATATCTCACTCCAGGCGTTTATTATTAGAACCTATTAGAACTCATGCTACAAGGTAAAATCACACTGATCACAGCGCAGATTTTCTGACACGTCTCTCCTTTGCTACTTTTACTCCCTGTATGCAGCTCTCCATAGCAGATGTCTCATAGCTTGGGTATCTCAATATCCCATCTTCTCAAAATAATACAGCCCTGCCTTCATCTCCGCAGAGTCATGCGAAGAACTCTCACAGTCTCCTCACTGAATTTTTTGACTCTGCCAAACATAGATGAGTGTGTCCAGCAGGCACAGCCTTTTTAAGTAATTGAAGAAGAATCAAAATGATTATTTTAAATCACTAGTATTAAATGCAAAAATATTTTATTCATCCTCTCTTCATAGTACTCAAGAATTCCAAGTATCATACTTTGCAAATATTTCTATTATGGCTACCCAAACAGACTAGTTGTATGATATCAGAACACTTCAGAACAGAGTATTATGTCATATAGATCTACCCCAAGATGCTGCTATAGTGCTCTTTGGCATATACCCAAACGATGCTCTAACCTACCAAAAGGACACCTGTTCAACTATGTTCATAGCAACTTTATTTCTAATAGACAGAAACTGGAAACAACCTAGAAGTCCCTCAATCAAAGGAGGAATAAAGAAAATATGGTGCATTGATACAATGGAGTATTACTCAGTTATTAAAAGGGCAAAATAAAGAGCCCGGCGGTGGTGGCGCACGCCTTTAATCCCAGCACTCGGGAGGCAGAGGCAGGCAGATCTCTGTGAGTTCGAGACGAGCCTGGTCTACAAGAGCTAGTTCCAGGATAGGTTCCAAAACCACAGAGAAACCCTGTCTCGAAAACAAAAAAAAAACCAAAAAACAAAACAAAAAAAATAATAATATAAGTCTATACTTAATAAGTACAATGATTATACACTATATATAATCAATAAATAAAGGCGTGTGTGAAGGATGGAGAGAGAGAATATGGGAAGAGACTACTGGAACTGGGGGACATTTAGGAGTCGATATGAAAACCTAGTACAGCCTCTGCTGAGTATATCACTTTTCTTTCTAAGTCTATAAGAAGCAGTAAAACTAGCTCTTTTGATGAAACTGACTCTTGAGAGGATTCCTAGGAATGGGGGAGAAGGAGTAGGTCCTCCCCTAGTAGAGGAAAGGCCATTAATAAGGGACTGATTGATCTTGACTATATAAACATGTTGGCTGCTGACAACTGTAACCTGGCACAGTTACAGCCAATGGCCTGTTCCTCAGTCCTCTGGGCTGACTCACATGTATGAAGGAAAATATCTGCACAGGAAAGTTCCCCCATGGCAAGTTCAGGATTCTTTGTCTCAAGGTAACCCTGCTGTCTTCCTGCACTCAGGAGGCGCTTCCCGTTCCTCCTGGACACAATGGGACCAGCTTGCACAGCCCTTTCCTCAGTGTTTGAGTGGAGTGATTCCCTGTCAATGAGTGGAAGGGTACCCACAATATTAACAATTTCAAGTAGAGATTTAAGGATACAGAAGAAGATGTTTCTTCTGCGGCTTCACGCTTAAGTTCAGGAGAACTGAAGGAACTTTCTACCTGTGAGCCACAGTTTCTTCAGAGGACAGGAGAGAAATGCAGGGGAGAGATAAAAAAAAATAATGACAGACCCCCCTTTCACCAGAAGGTTGGATGATGGCTTCATTGCTTTCGAAGTTCAGGGAGAACTCATGACAAATTAGTAATAATGATAAAAATGATAAAAAAAAAAGTAGTCTTGCAGAAAATTGAAGTTAGAGAATCATGGAACTAGGAGGAATGTCTTTATGAGTACAGTCAATATTCATTCCCAAGGCAACTTTCTCAAATTGTACACCCACCAATCTGAAATGTATTTATTCACGTGACTTGCGTTAACACTTGCTGGGAAATTATAAATTAACTCCTCCTAAGTGTTCAAGGCCTTTTTCATACTGGACCCCAGCAGCTGACCGCCTGACCTGTTTCCCCCTGCAGTGTACACAAACGATTCCTCCTATTCTGGTCCGAAGGCTCCATGTGGCAATCCCTCTGTTACTGCAATGGACAGTCAACTCCAACTCTACGACTCAAATGGATAATTTTAAAATTCTGAGGTGGTGCAATCATTTAATTTAAGAATTTTGGAGATGTAATATGGAGGACAACAAAGTCATCGCCCTGGAGTGCAAAGTCTGAAATCAGGGCCACCTGGGTCAGCAGCAGAGAGCAGTCTCAGAAACAGTTTCTAAAAGGCTGCAAATGCAGCTGCTCTAGAATACTGTGTCCTCCCAGGGAGAAATCACTCCTCACAACACACAGTGTCTTACTTCTCAAATTGTCGCCTGCTGTCATACTGCCCCTCTCTCAGAGCTATGCCTTTCTCAACTAGAAAACTGGAACTTTAAGGCACGGGAGGCCATAAGGTAGGTTTTGACCCTGTAGTGCCTCCTTGAGTAGCTTGTTAGAAGGCTGTTCTTTCATATGGGACTGGGCCTAGAGGCTGATTGACAGCCAGGGGTGTCTCCTTTGTAAAGGTTTGGAGCCAAATGTCTGGACAATCCTGTTAAAACAACTGTGTACCCTAGAATGCTCATCTCTAGCAGGCCTGGTTAGCATAAACTTATCTTTGGGGTGTTTTAGATGCAGCCTTCCTCAGTTATTTCCTGCTTTATGAGGCTTACTAGCTCTAATCATGGGTAAATTCTTTATGTCATGAATCTACTCTTCTTCATCACAGCTAACTGTGCAGCGCTACCCAACACAGGAGATGCCTTTTACAACCTCCACACAATTACCTGTAAATGAACCTTACATGTACAGGTCAGGTGCAAAGTACTGAATATCTAAAAGATACTGGGGAAAACAGGCCTCTCCAAGTTATTCAACCCGCCTTCCGTGGCTGCACCAAAAGCGCCTTATTGTTGACTCCAAACACGGTTCCACACACAGCTCCCTGAGCCCATCGCTCTGCAGGGCTGCAGCCCACAGAGCAAAGTTATACACAGGACTGTGCCTGGGTCCAGGGAGCAGCAGGGACCGCATGGGAGCTCACAAGACACGGAATATGACTGCAGATTCCCACCCGGCCCTCAGGACCCGCCACGCAGGATCCTGGATCTCCGCATCTGATCTTCCCGATCTGGGAAAGCAGCCCCTCGCTCACCATGTCCTCCTGGCTTCCCGGCTCGCCCGCGGCCCTCTCACAGCTCCCTGCAGCAGCACTAGCAGCACAAAAGGCGAAAGAAAACACTGGCCCCAGCTTCTCGGCAACCCAAAAGGAGCAGTGGAGGCCTGGGAAGAGCCCTGCAAGACTTCTGACTGGCAGTTCGGCCTAGAGGCACTGATTGGTTGGTGATGTTTGAGTGACAAGAGTCCCGCCCTTAGGATTAAAGACATAGCGCAAGTCGATTCCTAGGCCAACCTTCCACCCCAGACCCAGACTTTTCCAGATAGACAGATATTTTCATTTCAATAACTGTTGCCCTGGGCTCCAACAGCTAATCCAGCCACCTCCAGGCACTCCACAGGCCCCTCCTCTTCTTCCTCCTGCAGGCGGTGTGAACAGCTTTCACAACCACAGGTGGAAGGGTGCGCAGAATATTAGCAATTTTAAAGAGATGTAAGAACACAAAAGGAGGTGTTTGTTCTGTGGCTTCACTATGAGGTCAGGTGAACTGAAGATTCTTTTTACCTGACACGGGGTCACTTCAGGGATCAAGGAGAGACACACAAGAATCAGATAAGAAAACAAAATGAAGGACTACCAGTCTGTCTCAGGCAGAAAGACTGTACTGCACTCCCGTCTCCACCTCCCTCATGCTGGGATTAAAGTCATGTGATCAAAGTGCTGGGATCAGAGATGTGAGCTCTGTTTCCCTTTCAGACTGGATCAACCTCATGTACCCCAGGGTAGGCTTGAAGTCATAGAGATCTGTCTGACTCTGCCTGCCAAGGGCTGGGATTAGAGTCACGAGCCATCACCACCCGGCCTCTATGGCTAACTAATGTGGCTGCTAAGATCAAAGGTGTGCGCCACCACTGCCATGCAGCTCATTAATTTCTTAAGGCTTCTATAATCCAACATGGCTTCCAATGTGTAGCAAAACTATTTGTAGACTCCTTCATCTTTAGTTTGTTTGGGCTTCTGTCGCTCAGCATGACTGCTTTTATTCAGATGCTGTGGCAAATACCATGAACAAAAGAAAATTTAGGGGAAGAAATTATGTATTTCACCTTATACTTCCAGGCCACACTCCCTGTGCTGATAGAAGTCAGGGCCAAGGAAGTACAGGAACCATGGAAGAATGGTGCTTGCATGCTGGGCTCGTCTTCAGCTAGTATCCTCCTGCAGCCCTCATCACCAGCAAGAAGGGATATCCATAGTTAATAAACAAATTCTATTTTATTATGCTGATGTTCATTGCACAAAGCTCACACTCTGCATTCCTAACTACGATCCTGAGGCTGTCTCCCCAGGGTAACATATTTTAGCAGAATGTTACGTCCAGTCCCTATCAGAAGAATCTGACTTGAGGGTTAGCATCCTGGGAGAGCTGCCCTAAACACAGGACAGATCAAGATGCTATCTCTTCCAGTGTGTATAGCACAGCATCTTAGTCTTTGCTTATAGACCGTCCAGTGGGTGGGATGGTGTCTGCTCGTCTTGAGTGAGTGATGTCACTAGGTTCATGTTATCAGGTGCAGCCTTGGGTGTAGTGGGTTCCAGACTAACCTATTTTTACATGTCTAAACGTCATTACAGTAAAGGTTCTGATTCAGTGGCTTTTCTCTGCAACTGGAGCAGAAGGAGCTACTTTGCCATTACTGCCACTTTGGGTAAAATGAAAGCTAATACCACACATTATCTACCATGGAGCTTCAATCAGCCCCACCAAAACTTTCATGACCTAATAAATTATGGCGTGGAAACAAACTTATAGTATAAATTCACTCTTTCCTCATCTAGTTTTCAATACAGAAGAAGATATCTTACTTCCTTGTGAATAGTGATACTTAATACCCTTCAGAGAGGAAATATGAAAAACACTTCTAATTTTACTTTGGACACAATAAATCCTACAGTGCAGAGGCTTATATAGTTGGTACTCACGTGTGGTTAACAGTAAGCCTAAGAATCCAGTATATTCATTCTGTGTATGATGTAACATATAATTACTATTATTGCACTAAAATTGCTGTTAGTACAAGAAATAATACAATAGTTGTGTTTCAATGACTTCCTTTTTTGGTTTAGATCCTAGTAATATAAGAAAAAGTGGGGTCTTCCAAAAACTTAAATGCAATGCCTGGAAAATATCTAACAATTTTAGAAAAATATTCTTTCGGTTTTCTTTTATTATGTAAATTTTCATTAGTTGCTTAATTTTTTTCATTATTTTACATCCTGACTGCTGTTTCTCCCCACACTCCTCTTTCCTTTCTGCCCAGTTGAGCACGTTTTTTTCTATTAAGATTTGGGCTGGTAGATGCCAGTTAGAGGCACTCCTCATTAGAGATTAGAAGCTACTCAGCTGAATAAGGTAATGCACCTGCTTGAACTTCCTCCCAGGAACAATGCAGGGAGGTGGTCAGCTGGCTGTGCTGCTCTTTGTTCTGCCTTTTGCCTGTGGTATATGTGCTGCCTGAGAAATGAACTCAGGGCTGTCTGGTATTAGCCTTTGGTCCTCTGGGTCTATCCTGTTTCTGTCTTCATTTCTCTTCATCTAACATTTCCTCAGCCTCAGCAAACTCTCCAAGGGAACGCCCAGCTGATTTTGGCCAGAGTGGGCTCTGATGGAGTGTCACCAAGCATGGAGCTGGGTGCGGGGGAAGAATGCGAGGACACCACAGGGTAAAATAGTGCACTTAGTAAATGGGAGATCTGCAGTGAGCTTTACCAGGAGCCCTGTGATTTAAATATGAGCATAAGCAAATGTACGGGTGTACAGATAAGAATAGAGAGGCTGGCTGCAGAGCATGAAAAATTAAGTATAAGAAATAACTCGAGTAATAGTGTAAATAAGAAGTGACTTGAGTATAAGTATAAAAAGTAGCTAGAGGGGCTGGAGAGATGGCTCAGAGGTTAAGAGCATTGCCTGCTCTTCCAAAGGTCCTGAGTTCAATTCCCAGCAACCACATGGTGGCTCACAACCATCTGTAATGGGGTCTGGTCCCCTCTTCTGGCCTGCAGGCATACACACAGAACATTGTATTCATAATAAATAAATAAATAAATAAATATTAAAAAAAAAAAAAAAAAAAAAGTAGCTAGAGACCAAGGAACTGGTAAACAGTTCTTTGTACTACGTTTACTTAGCAATACTTTATTTTTTTTTAATATTTATTTATTTATTTATTTATTATGAATACAATGTTCTGTCTGTATGCCTGCAGGCCAGAAGAGGGCACCAGACCCCATTACAGATGGCTGTGAGCCACCATGGGGTTGCTGGGAATTGAACTCAGGACCTTTGGAAGAGCAGGCAGTGCTCTTAACCACTGAGCCATCTCTCCAGCCCACTTAGCAATACTTTAAAAGCCAGAGATGCTAAGGTAAAGCATCAACAACTGCCTCAATTTCTAGAGTTTGAACATTCCTTATAGATATTTCAAAGGTTAGGGGCACTGAGGAAGGACAACAGCAATTGCTTCAGTTTTTGAAATGTGTAAAGGATGTGTGCCCCAGGCTCCTGTGGAAGGGAGTGTGAATCTAGAGATTTAAAAAGGCGTGTGAATGAATGAGCGCTCTTTGTCTTGGTCTGAGTTTAGACTTACTATGTTGCTCTCCTGTTTTATGTGTCCTTGAAAAGTTTATGCAGTACCAGTACCCATTTGTCTGTCTTTACTGTCCATTTTTGTCTACTGACCTTTTTTTTTAATATTTATTTATTATGTATAACTTATTTATTATGCATACAATATTCTGTCTGTATGCCTGAAGGCCAGAAGAGGGCGCCAGACCTCTTTACAGATGGTTGTGAGCCACCATGTGGTTGCTGGGAATTTGAACTCAGGACCTTTGGAAGAGCAGGCCATCTCTTAACCACTGAGCCATCTCTCCAGCCCCCTCTACTGACCTTCTTTGTAGTCCTGGAGATAAGCCCAGTAGCCTCTGCCTCTAGCCTCCTGTGCATTTTTATTGGATCAATCCCAAGTTGTTAGGTCCTGAGAGAAAAACTTCTCAAAGGAGAGGCATAGCAAGGGCCACCTCCCTCTCTTGTTCACTGGTCCACAGCCAGCCAGCAGCTCCAGCAGAAGGCAGGCTGTGCGCATGCTCAGGTGGGCAGAGAGGATACTGTAGGGAGACATGCTCATGGGAATGGGGCGGCAGGTGCAAAAGCTGCACAGTTGTGAAATAGAGAATCAAAGATTGTCACCAGAGAAGTTAACAATTTCTTTCTTCAGGAATCCAGGCAGTCAAGGACACTCTGTGCCCACCAGTGCTGCTCCCCTTTTCTTTCCTAAGCAAAGTTCCTTTTCACTGTGAAAATACTCAATCAAGGTCTCTTCTGCTAGTCAGCAATTTTCCATCTTAAATCTTTTCTGTCCTGATGCTTTTAAAAATGTTGATTTGTACCAATGTGTATACTTTTGGAAGCACTGATTTTTAAAGTTAAAAATGCATTATATTGGGGGAAAGTATGCTTTTGTTAACAAAGGAAAAGAAAGCTGGGCGGTGGTGGTGCACGCCTTTAATCCCAGCACTTGGGAGGCAAAGGCAGGCGGATCTCTGGGAGTTCGAGGCCAGCCTGGTCTACAAGAGCTAGTGGCAGGACAGGCTCCAAAAAAAAAAAAAAAGGAAAACATCTGGATTTCGCCATTTGTTTCCACTGGGTTACAAACACTTGTTATCCTTTTAGGAAACTGGGTCTAAATTATTAGTGATTAAGAAACCTGTTGAAGGTCATATTTGCCTTCTGCTGTTTAGTGTAGGCCTGCCAGGCTCCAGAAGATCCTGTGGGCTAAGAAATCTGTAGGAAGACAAGCCTACATCGACCTGAGCTGCTAGGCTGTCAATTACTGCAGTTCAGTCCCTATCTAGAGATCTTCAGTTTAGATGAAAAGCAGTTTTGCCCAATGGTCTGTGCTTGGCAGTTGAAGTGAATTGCTGATGGACATTTTCTGTACCCATTTGTCTTCTGTCTTCTTTGGAGGAAGTAGAGTCCTGCTAGGAGCCAACTGTCTCTTTTTGTTATGAAAAAGTCTTTTAATAATTAAATATTTAAATGCCATATTCCCCAGATCTCTGAGCAGTTGAGGGCTGTTTATCAGGTATAATATAGAATTATAGAATCTGCCTGGAGAGCTGGGTTTGAGCTTGACTGTACTGGCTCTCAACAGGTGATATTTACACTCGTAAAAAGACAGAAGAAGGGGGCTGGAGAAATGGCTCAGAGGGTAAGAGCATTGCCTGCTCTTCCAAAGGCCCTGAGTTCAATTCCCGGCAACCACATGGTGGCTCACAACCATCTGTAATGAGGTCTGTTGCCCCCTTCTGGCCTGCAGACATTCACACAGAAAGAATATTGTATACATAATAAATAAATAAAAATATTAAAAAAAAAGACAGAAGAAAAACTGCTTGCAATAGGTTAACAGCAGTAATGACAATAGTAGAGAATAGCTTAATATATTTTAAATCAGGGTTGGATTACATACATAGTATTTTTTGTAAGAGACTTAAAAGTACATACCAATTTAAAACATGAGACTTATTGCTTTGTAGTCTGAAATGAGATATAATGAACAGACAATTATAACATTTAAGAGTAAATATAGGTGCATTTAAGTTACATGTATGAACACACACACAGAGTGTACAGTTATTGGGTGAAGTGGATGCTCTTGGTGGGCCCTAGCAAAGGCATGCCACTGCTCAAACCATACCTGCAACAGAGTCAGTTAGAGGAATTTAGAGACAAAAACATAAGCAAACTGGAGGACCAGGCAAGGTATACCTCAGTAAAGATGGCGGAACTTGGTCATCTGACCTGGTCTCAGCCAAGATGGCAGTGAAGACACCTGACCTCAGTTAAGATGGGGAAATGGGAGTGGGTGTGGCTTGTCTCTTTTTTTTTTTAACTTTCCCACTTTTAATATTTATTTATTATGTATACAATATTCTGTCTGTATGCCTGAAGGCCAGAAGAGGGCGCCTGACCTCTTTACAGATGGTTGTGAGCCACCATGTGGTTGCTGGGAATTGAACTCAGGATCTTTGGAAGAGCAGGCAATGCTCTTAACCACTGAGCCATCTCTCCAGCCCCTGGCTTGTCTCTTATAGGAACAGAGCAGATCATTACACAAGGGGTCAAATGAGAGACTGAAATAAGGTACAAAAATGAATTTGTCTATGAGCAATGCTGAGTTTAAAGGGAAACTATAAAAATGCTAGATATTTTATGTGTTAATTCTGGTTGCTGGTCACTCATCACTGTACAGTAGTTATGCTAATAATGGGACAATGTTCTCTAAAGGTGATAGTAGGACTCAGGTCTTAAATAGAAGTTAATAATTATCATCTTGCAAACTTCTAAGTTATAGGGTTTTAAATGATTGACCTCCCATGAAATGACAAGGCTAAAGGTCTTAGCTGATTAGACTTTCATAGAGAAGGTTATCAAAAACTGTCAACATGCCGGGCGGTGGTGGCGCACGCCTTTAATCCCAGCACTCGGGAGGCAGAGGCAGGCAGATCTCTGGGAGTTCGAGACCAGCCTGGTCTACAAGAGCTAGTTCCAGGACAGGCTCCAAAGCCACAGAGAAACCCTGTCTCGAAAAAAACTAAAAAAGAAAAAAAAAAGTCAACATTATCTGTGATCTGTAAATGAAAACTGCAGTCTAACTGCTGCTATAATGGTTATTATTAGGACAAAATGCTTATGTTATAAGTCTATATAAATTCCAAGGGTCACACTTGGGTTAACTGGAATTTTGATGTCTAATTTCCTGAGTTCTTTGTATATCTGGGAGATCAGTCCTTTTCTGACATGGGGTTGGTGAAGATCTTTTACAATTCAGTGGGATGCCTTTTTGTCTTATTGACTGTGTCCTTTACAGATTCAGGAGGTCCAATTTACTTGTTGCTCAGGATCTGTGCTACTGGGGTTATTTTTAGGAAGTGTTCTCCTTTCCCCATGCATTGAAGGCTACTTCCCATTTTCTATTCTATCAGGTTCAGTATGGTCAGATTTATATTGAGGTCTTTATTCCATTTGGACTTGAATTTTGTGCATGGGGACAGATATGGATCTATTTTCGTTCTTCTACATGTTGACATCCAGTTATGCTAGCACCATTTGTTGAAGATACTATTTTTCTTCCACTGTATAAGTTAAGCTTAAATTGTTTTTTTTTTTTGTCAAAAATCAGGTGTTCATAGGTGTATGGATTTAATATCTGGGTCTTCAATTCCATTGGTCAGCCTCTGTTTTTTTTTTTTATGCTGTTTTCATCAATGTCACTCTGTAATAGAGCTTGATGTCAGGGATGGTGATGACTCTGAAAGTTCCTTTATTGTACAGGATTGTTTAGGCTATCCTGGGTTTTTTCTTTTATTCATATGGTGTTGACTATTGTTTCCTCAAGTTCTGTGAAGGACTGTGTTGGTATTTCGATGGGGATTGCATTGATTTTATAGATGGTTGTTGGATTTCCATTTTTAATTGTTAATCCTACCTATCCAAGAACATGGGAGATCCTTCCATTTTCTGTAATTTTTTTCAATTTCTTTCTTCAAAATCTTAAAGTTCTTGTCACATAGGTCTTTTACTACTTTGGTTAGTGTTACCCCCAACATATTTTATCTTACTTGTGGCTATTGAAAAAGGTGATGTTTCTTTCTCAGCTTCTTTATTATTTCTAGAGAGGGCTAATGATTTTTTTGAGTTGATCTTGTATCCTGCCACATTACTGAAAGTATTTATCAATGGTAGGAATTCCCTGGTAGGGTTTTTGGCTTCACTTATATATACTACCATATCATCTGCAAATAACAAGTTTGACTTCTTTCTAATTTGAATCCTCTAGATCTCCTTTTGCGGTCTTGTTAATCTAGCCAGAACTTCAAGAATTGTCTTCAATAGATATGGAGAGAATGGACAGCATTTCCTTGTTCCTGATTTCAATGGAATCACTTTGAGTTTCTCTTCATTTAATTTGATGTTGGTTGTAAGCTTGTTGTATATTGCTTTTATTATGTTTAGATATGATCCCTGTATTCCTGATCTCTCTAAGACTTTTACCATAAAGGGGTGTTGGATTCTGTCAAATGACTTTTCACCATCTAATGAGGTGATCATATGGTTTTTCTTTCCAGTTTATTTATATGTTGGATTACATTGATAGATTTTCATATGATGAACCATCCCTGCATCTCTGGTATGAAGTTGACTTGATCATGGTATTTGAGTATTTTTGATGTGTTCTTTGATTTGGTTTGCTAGTATTTTCTTGAGTATTTTTGCATCTATGTTCATGAGTGAGATAGGTCTGCAATTCTTTCTTGATTGAGTCTGTGTGGCTTCAGTATCAGGGTGACTGTTAGCCTCATAAAGAGTTTGGCAATGTTCCTTTTGTTTCTCTTCTGTGAAATACATCAAGAGTATAGGTATTAGCTCTTCTTTGAAGTTTTGCTAGAATTCTGCACTGAAACCATCTGGTCCTGGTTTCTTTTCTTTTTTTGGTTGGGAGACTTTTGATGACAGCTTCTATTTCCTTGCACTTTATAGGTACATTTAAAATTTACCTCGTCTTGATTTAATTTTGGTTTATGGTATCTAAATAGAAAATTGTCCATTTCTTTATATTGTCCAATTTTATGGAGTACAGGTTTTTGTAGTATGACCTAATGAAATGGGTTAATATAAGATGTAACAGCTAAAAATATGCCTAAGCCATTGGCCAAACAGTATTGTAATTAATACAGTTTCAGTGTTATTTTTAGATTCTGAGTGGCCGGGAAATGATTGAGCAGTCTCCACCTACAGCTACCCTTGTACCTGAAGGTACAAGATCTGTGGTCTGCAAGGCTCCAGTCCTGACCTTAATAACCATATAAAAGAGTATCAAAAGTAGACAACACAAAGCTGCCTTCTGATCTCTACATATCTGTCATGGCGTACAAATTCATAATCACATTACATACAACATAAATGTGACAAAATAAATCTTAGTGTCATTACATTACCTGGCATCTCTAGATAAACCCTGTAGGAGAGCATTTCAAGAAAAAATTGAAAACTGTTAAACAATGGGGACATGGAGAAGCGTGGAACAACAATTTTTTTTTTTTTTTTTTTGGTTTTTCGAGACAGGGTTTCTCTGTGGTTTTGGAGCCTGTCCTGGAACTAGCTCTTGTAGACCAGGCTGGTCTCGAACTCACAAAGATCCGCCTGTCTCTGCCTCCCTCCCGAGTGCTGGGATTAAAGGCGTGCGCCACCACTGCCCGGCCGAACAACCAACTTTATATAGAACATCAAACTATGGTATGAGATACACAGCTGACTGCTGATTATTCTACTTTGTTATATCTATCTCTACTAGATAAATGAAAATACAGTTTTGATACACACATGAAGTATTTAATGTTTACTATAAGCTCTTCTATTGTGTTGACAAAACAGCACACATTTGGAGCACATCATCTACCCTTGGACTTTACTCTGGAGCTGGACATATTAGGATTATGAGTTCAAACGTATCCTTAAATCTCTTTTATGTCTTTAGGACTTTGAATCACACAGTAGCATTTAAAGAATTTATAGGTCTGGAGACATGACAAGGTTGTAGTAATTGGGGCGGCGGGGCTGCGTTCCCAGCACCCCGGCCGTCTGCTCGGCTAGCTTATGCCCTGAAATAACAACACACAAACTGTATTCATTTAAACACTGCTTGGCCCTTTAGCTCTAGCCCTTACAGGCTAATTCTCACATCCTGATCAACCCATCTCTAATAATCTGTGAGCACCGATCTTACCAGGAAAGATTCAGCATGTCTAAAATGGCGGCTTGCTTCATCGCGTGCGTCTGCCCAGGAGAGCGGAGCATGGCATCTCTCTGAGGCGTCTGCTCCCGAGAGGAGAGCTGTGGAGTCTGAGTTCACTTCCTCTTCCTCCCTGCGTTCTGTTTTGTTTACTCCTCCCACCTAACTTCTAACCAATGTAGACCAAGCAGTTTCTTTTTATTTAACCAATGACCTTCTTCCATCACGGGGTAGTTAGGAAAAGTTCATTCCCAGGACCAAGTTCCGACTCCTGACAGCTTCCTATAATTCTTGCTACAAGAGGACCCAGGGTTTTAACATTCTTGGGAACTAGTATGCATGTTCATATACCCACACAAACACCCACTGACATGACATAATTAAAATAACTCTGTAAACAACTTTTCACTGATTAAAGTTTTTCTCTTTTAAGCATTCATTCCTGTAACACAGGTATTGAAACAATCATAGGATTTCTCTCCAGTGTGTTGATTTATTTGTTTGGGGATGATTATGTTGTACAAAAAGCTTTACCACATTGATTACAGTTATAGGGTTTCACTCCAGTATGTGTTCTTTTATGCATGTTAGGAGCATTGATAAGCAAAGACTTTACCATGTTGATAACATTCATAGTTTCTCTATAGCATGTTTACTTTCATGCTTTTTAAGAAAGCCATAATATGAAAAGACTTTACCACATTGATTACATTTGGAGGGTACTTTCCGTTTCTCTGCAGTATGTGTTCTTCTATGTGTTCGGAGATGACTGTGGTCTGAAAAGGCTTTACCACATTGTTTGCATTCATAGGGTTTCTCTCCAGTGTGTGTTCTTTTATGTGCATGAAGATTACCATGACGTGCAAAGGCTTTACCACATTGTTTGCATTCATAGGGTTTCTCTCCAGTATGTGTTCTTTTATGTGTTTGAAGATGACTCGGGTGAGAAAAGGCTTTACCACATTGATTACATTCATAGGGTTTCTCTCCAGTGTGTGTTCTTTTATGTGTTCGAAGATTAGTTTTACGTGCAAAGGCTTTACCACATTGATCACATTCATAGGGTTTCTCTCCAGTGTGTGTTCTTGTATGTAGTTGAAGAAAATTATAACATGTAAAGGTTTTACCACATTGACTGCATTCATAGGGTCTCTCACCAGTATGCGTTCTTTTATGTATTAGAAGATAATTAGGAGATTTAAAGGCTTTACCACAATGATGACATTCATAGAGTTTCTCGTCAGTTCTTCTTTTATGATGTATTCTTCTTTTATGTTTTTGGAGAAGACAGCTTTGTGCGAAGGTTTTACCACATTCATTACATTCATAGGGCTTTTCTCCAGCATTTGTTCTTTTATGCATTTGAAGATGTCTATCACATGCAAAGGCTTTACCACATTGGCTAGATTTATAGGGTTTTTCTCCAGCACGTGTTCTTTCATGCCTTTGAAGATGACTGTCATATGCAAAGGCTTTAACATATTGAGTATATATAGAAGGTTTCTCTCCCATTTGACTTCTTTCATGCCTGCAGAGATAATTGGCACAGGTAAAACCTTTACCACATTCAATACACTGTTGAATCAATAAATCTGTATGAATGAATTTTACATTTTGGTCCAATCTTAAAGAGAAATCATCACTGTGTTTACAGTCATTTTGTTCCCCTTTATTATGGGCTGTTTTATGTCTTTGAAGATACCTGTAATGGTATATTCATGGAATATTACATGATTCACATATACAGAATATTCTTTTTTAAAATATTTATTTATGTATACAGTGTTCTGTCTGTCTGTATGCTTGTTGGCCAGAAGAGGGCACCAGATTTCATTACAGATGGCTGTGAGCCACCAAGTGGTTGCTGGGAATTAAACTCAGGACTTCTGGAAGAGCAGTCAATGCTCTTAACCTCTGAGCCATCTCTCCAGTCCCAGAATATTTTTCTTATTTTTTTTTTTTTTTTGGTTTTTTCAAGACAGGGTTTCTCTGTGGTTTTGGAGCCTGTCCTGGAACTAGCTCTTGTAGACCAGGCTGGTCTCGAACTCACAGAGATCCGCCTGCCTCTGCCTCCCGAGTGCTGGGATTAAAGGCGTGCGCCACCACCGCCCGGCCCAGAATATTTTTCTATATGAGATTTTGCACCTATTTCAAGAGAGCTGGAAAAACTGAGAGCGTCACCACTCTTATTGCATTTATAAATTATCCTATACTTTTGACTCATACTCTATTGTTAAGTCACCTAGGACAAACAGAAGTTTATGCTCAGTCCTAGTGCTCATAGGGCTTTCTGCAGTGTGTGTTTGTTGATGGATTGAAGCTGGGAGGCCAAATACTTGTATACTTGAATCAAATTCAAGAAGTATATTCAATGTGGCGACTGCTACATATCTTCTATTTGTTCTCAGAGAGCAATATGCTATGTCTGTCCATATCCCTATGCTCATGACTTATAACGAGAGTGACATATGATATACTTAAATGATATAAGATTTCTCGGTAACAAGTGCACCTTGACTCTTGGCCCTAACTGCAGCTCTCAGTAAACCTAGCATAGAAACAATAAGTATATGAGTAACACTAATTTTACTATGGGCTGTATGCTTAATAGGAAATTTTGGAGATATACTTATCACCTCTTTAACATGTATACATTTTGTAATATGAATGGCATAAAACTAAATAGATTGGCAGTTCTATGATTCAAATGGTGATATCTGTTAAGGAACTATTTCCTTGTCTTCTTTCTTAATAGAATGCCTTGCAAATGCAATTCACCTACCTGAAATTGAGGTACATGGTTTGTGAGAATTTAATAATCTTCAATGTACATGAATTTATGTTTGTTTACACTGCTGCTTCTGTTTACAACTTCCAGGACACATTACAGTTCCTTCAGAGGCACGTTTGTATCAGCTTGCACATGATAATTACCTTCCATGTCTTTGAGAACTTTGACAATGTTCCTCAATATTATGGTCTTCCCAACTGTATCCTAAAATATAGTACCAGAAAATGTATGGTATATTATTGAAAATTGTGCAGACTTTAAGTTACTATCTTCGGTGAACCTTAGAGCCATGCCTGATTTATTCACCTCATTCTTCTTTCCCAAGCAAACTACAGAAGAGCGGCAAGAATCAAGGTAACAGTTCTCCCCTTATTTCCAAACCTGAAGGAAGATCCAGTCTTACCTATGGCAGTGAGGTTCCTGTAGGTCTCCAGCATCACATCTTTGTAGAGATTCCTCTGGAAAGGATCCAGCAACTTCCACTCTTCCCAAGTGAAGTCAACATGAACATCATCATAGGTCACTGCATTCTGAAATGACCCACACATGTGTACAACAAAAAGCATGATAGTGACATTGTAAATATATACTTCTTTGACAGTATAGTCATATAACTGTGGTGTTCCTCATACTTATTACATGATATAGACATTATAAGGCAATCCCCAAGTCACTTTAGAAGGAAACTGAATAGGAGCTTCCCCTCTGTCATTTCTGTACACTGTAAATGGGATATCATCATGCAAGAGAAATGACTATGAAAAAACAGAGACACAAGTAAACAGATCAACAAATGGAAACAAACCAACAGTTCAGAGTACACATGAGTGAATGTATACAATTACTAACTACAAGAAAGAAAAATAAGATGTACAAGCTGGGTGTATTGGCTGATACCTTTAACCACTGCACTCAAAATTCAGAGGCAGTTAACACATCTGTCTCAGAGTTGAATGCCAGCCTAGTGTATACAGTCAATTCCAGGACACTCAGAAGTACATATTAAGACCCTACCTCCGGGGGCTGGAGAGATGGCTCAGCAGTTAAGAATACTGGCTACTCTTCGAGAGGTCCTGAGTTCAAATTTCAGTAATCACATGGTGGCTCACAACAATCCATAGTGAAATGTAGTGCCCTCTGCTGCTCTACACTAAGACAGAACATTGTATACATTATAAAAAAATCTTAAAAAGAGACCCTGTACAGTCAAAACAATCCTCGGCAATAAAAGAACTTCTGGAGGCATCACAATCCCTGACTTCAAACTCTACTACAGAGCTACAGTACTGAAAACAGCCTGGTACTGGAATAAGAACAGACAGGAGGACCAATGGAACAGAATAGAAGACCCAGATATCAATCCACACATCTTCGAACACTTGATATTTGATAAAGAAGCAAAAAGATATCAAATGGAAAAAAGAAAGCATATTTAACAAGTGGTGCTGGCATAACTGGATATCAACATGTAGAAAAATGAAAATAGACCCATATCTCTCACCATGCACAAAACTCAATGGATCAAAGACCTCAACATAAAGTCAGCCACACTGAACTTTATAGAAGAGAAAGTGGGAAGTACACTTGAACACATTGGCACAGGGAACCACTTCCTAAATATAACCCCAGCAGCACAGACACTGAGAGAAACAATAAGCGGGACCTCCTGAAACTGAAAAGCTTCTGTAAAGCAAAGGATATGGTCAATAAGACAAAAGACAGCCTACAGAATGGTTAAAGATCTTTACTAACACGATATCAGACAGAGGTCTGATCTCCAAAATATACAAAGAACTCAAGAAATTGGATAGGCTGGGCGGTGGTGGCGCACGCCTTTAATCCCAGCACTCGGGAGGCAGAGGCAGGCAGATCTCTGTGAGTTCGAGACCAGCCTGGTCTACAAGAGCTAGTTCCAGGACAGGCTCCAAAACCACAGAGAAACCCTGTCTCGAAGAAAAAAAAAAATTGGATAACAAAAGATCACATAATCCAATTTTTAAAAAATGGAGTACAGACCTAAACAGAGAACTCTCAACAGAGGAATCTAGAATGGATGAAAGTAACTGAAGGAAATGTGCAGCATTCTTAGTCATCAGAGAAATGCAAATCAAAACAACTCTTAGATTCCATCTTACATCTGTAAGAATGGCCAAGATCAAAAACACTGATGACAACTTATGCTGGAGAGGTTGTGGGGAAAAGGGAACACTTCTGCATTGCTGGTCAGAATGCAAGCTGGTACAGCCCCTTTGGATGTCAGTGTGGTGATTTCTCAGAAAATTAGGAAACAACCTTCCTCAAGACTCAGTAATAACACTTTTGGGTTTTGAAATTAGACAACAGCTCTGTCCTTCTCTACATCTAAAAGAATTATTCAGAGTTTCTGTCTCATATCAAGAGTCATCTGGGTGGCTGGAGAGATGGCTCAGTGGTTAACAGCATTGCCTGCTCTTCCAAAGGTCCTGAGTTCAATTCCCAGCAACCACATGGTGGCTCACAACCATCTGTAATGAGGTCTGGTGCCCTCTTCTGGCCTGCAGATATACACACAGACAGAATATTGTATACATAATAAATAAATAATTATTTAAAAAAAAAGAGTCATCTGATATGGGACAGAAAGAAAAGAATTTAGAAAAAATTTTACTTTTCTTCATACCTATTTTTGTCTCTATCATACCTTCATTGAATATATGTCTGTATATGTCTATATAAATAATGCTTAAGGTTTCTACAATGAACAATGAATTTTCCTGCAGTAAAATTTGCAGTTTCCAGAAAAGTGGGGTCCCACAAAAACAACTCCACCTAGTTGATATGACGACATGATGCTGATAGTACTATTATAAGACCTGTTTTGGGTACCAGCTGCTCAAGATGGTTCCAAATTGGTTAGCTGAAATGGTACACTTCTTTACTTCTAGCCAGAACTCCAAATAGGAACCTCAGAAAAACCCTACCAAATACTCAGAGACTATTTGCAATTATACCAGACAGTAATCTGGAACTTAATCATTTTACTTTCACAGGATCCCATAGAAAGAACATGGCCCCCACGACAGCTGGAAGTAATTCTAGAAGACAACTTACCCTCGCCCAACAAAGTTTGCCCTCAAGGTTAGGGACATCACGTAGGAGTTGATTATAATTGGTATAGAGTTGAGGGTTGGGGGAAAATTATGTAGGATCAGGGTTCTCTCTGAAAAAAAAAAAAACAAGTGAGGGAATTGGATGGGGTAATAAATTAGCGTGAGCTTACTCACACTAATAATAACAGTGAGTAATTGATATATATATTAGGATTTATTTATCATATTGCAATACACATTTCGACCTCTAATCAAGATACTTATACATTGCTTACATTTTGAGGTCATTGTCTTCATTTGATGCACAGCTGTTTATTGTATAATATTCTAATATGGGGGAGGTGCTATAGGAATCCTACAGCCAGTAGCCTTTAAGTTATCCGCCCACTTGGGTGTGACCTCTTATCCTATTTATGCTGAGTAAATTGCTCGGCCTCTCTCTTTCCTGGCTGTGGGATTCGGTTGTTGTTCTCCATTCCAGTAGAAGATAACGATTTGTGGGTCTACCCCTAAATAAATTACCACCTATTATTCTCCATTCTGAGCTAGTGTGGGATTGCTTTAAGAGCCCTTCTTCATGAGCCCTGTGTTTTAGCATACTAAAGTGTGACCTTGCTATACTAACTAGGATTCTCTACCTTGCTGCTCACAGCCTTTCTATTTTCTCCCACTTCCTCTCCAGCCTTTGCTGTCAGCTGTTTTAGTCTTTGCCATTCTCACTGCAATTAACACAATTCTTTTTTATGAATTTTTAAATCTATTTTACATACCAACCAGTTTCCCCTCCTTCCTCTTCTCCCATTCCCTTCCTCTATGTCATTTCTACCCCAGCCCCAACTCCTAAGGGAGTCAACAAGGCTTACATATCAAGCTGAGGCAGAACCAAGCTCCTCCCCCCTGCATCAAGGCTGACCTAGGCACTAGGGACAGATACCAGTTCCAATGCTATAAGCCCCACAAACAAACCAAGCCACACATACTTGTGACATTTCATTCATATTTTAATAAATAAAACTTTCCTGAAGATCAGAGAGTAAAACAGCCCCACTGCTCAGCCTTACAAACCAGGCAGTGAGAACACACAACTTTAATCCCAGCAGTCACACTTAGTTGCCATAGAAACTGGGCAATGCATGCCTTTAATCCCAGAATTTGAGAAGATTATAAAATGGGAAAATACAGCTCACAGTCTCAGTCTCATTCTGAGATCCTGGAGGCAGGATCGCCATTTCAGACTGAGGTTGAGGTAAGAGCCAGTGGCTGGCTGCTTTGCTTTTCAGATCTTCAGGTGGAACCCCAATTTCTCTGAGTTTTTATTAATCCTGCTTCAGCACACTGTCACACACATGCAGAGGGCCTAGGTTGGCCCCATGCAGGCTCCTTAGCTGTCAGTCTAGAGCCTGTGAGCTCCCAAATCTGCGGGTTTCCCCATCATGGTCTTGACCCCCTACCCTGCTCATATAATCCCTCCTCCCTCTCTTCAACCAGACTCCCAGAGTTTGGCACAGTGCTTGGCTGTGGATCTCTGCCTTTGCTTCCACCAGATATTGGATGAAGGTTCTGTGATGACAATTAGGGTAGTCACCAATTTGGTTACAGGAGAAACCCAGTCCAGGCACCCTGTATACCACAATCTATACAAACAGGAACAATTTATAATATGAACAACCTCCATAATTTTGATAATAGCCAATATAACTAGTTCTAAAAATACAAAAGAGCAAATCAAATGGCTCGAAAGACCAGTTACGAGTTTGTGTGCCTCATGTCATTTTTAGTTTTACCAAAGAGCTTACCGATGAGGATTAGCCTACAAATGAGAAGAGAGGCCTACAACGGAAAAGCCTACAGAAAACCAAATCGATTGAGCCAGAAAAAAAGAATCCCCTTATGACATTATATTCAAAACATTAAACATACAGAATAAAGAAAGCTTCAAGGAGAAAACACCAAACAAGACATGAAGGCAGACCTATAAGAATTACATAATTTCTCAATGAAGATTCTAAAAGCCAGAAGGGCCTGAAGACATGTGCGACAGACTCCAAGAGATCAGAGATGCAGACCAAGACTACTATACATAGCAGATGGAGATTCCGCAATGAATCAAATTTAAGCAATATCGATCTACAAATTCAGCCCTTCAGAAGGGGCTTCTTAGAAAGAAAACTCCAACCACAGAGGATAACTATACCCATGGAAACACAGGAAAGGAGATAATCTCACACCACCAAAGCCAAAAGAAGGGAAATTCTCTCTCCTCTCCTCTCCTCTCCTCTCCTCTCCTCTCCCTCCCTCCCCCCTCTCCCTCTTACACACACACACACACACAAACAACATAAAAAGAATCAATCAACCGTCATTGACTTCTCTCAAAATAAATGATCTCAAACACCCAACAAGAAGGACAGAGACTAACAGAATGCATGTCAAAACAGGGT